TTTTTTTCTCAAAATCAGTAAAGAAGTCGGTAAAGCGTGGCGTAAGAGTAATACGCGCGAGCCTCACACTCCGTTTCCAGCCTCGTTTCAGACCTTTTGTGTTACTGCTCACGCGTACTTGAATACGCCAAAATCTGCTGACGGACAGTTTTTCAAGTCTACATAAACATGCATGTGTACCGAAAAAACGCATATTAAGGTAAGATGTATCAAGTATAGCGAGACCAATAATAAAATTAATACACTATATCCCATCTAGAAACGTTCAGTTAAACAGTTGGCAGGCTCTTATAAAACCTTGGGGTGGATTTTGTGGACCTTTGGAGGTGCGGACGCATCCGCTGCCTCCACCTGATTCGGATTGCGTCATGCAAGACGTACAGCCTACAGTGGTTTCGAGTTTTGGGTACTTCGTTTTCGAGATTTGAGTGCTTCGTTTTCGAGATTTTGGGGTCTTCGTTTTCGATCTAGGGTGCTTCGTTTTCGAGTTTTGGGTGCTTCGTTTTCGAAGGTTTAGGGTGCTTCGTTTTCGAGATTTAGGGTGCTTCGTTTTCGAACTAGGGTGCTTCGTTTTCGAGATTTGGGTGCTTCGTTTTCGAGTTTTGGGTGCTTCGTGCTTCGGTCTTCGTTTTCGAGTGCTTCGTTTTCGAAACTACCCAGGTAAATGCCGCGTCACGCGAAAGCTTGGAAATTCAAGCGTCCTCTCTCGCAAAACGAAGAACCCTTTCGAACCAAAAATTTGTTCGTGTAAAGGTGTTTAGGTACTGTAATACCTCGTGAAAGTAGAAACTCAGAAGAATCGATAGTTTCTTAGTTTGATTTTTGGTGACGTCACGTGCAACCCAAGAATTATTTTACACATAGCAGACATAGAAATGTCAATAGTCAATTTAAAAATAATCTTTGTGAAAAAGCAAAAGCGGTCACGCAAAAGCCCAACTCATGGCCGGGCCGCGACATTCATTATAACAGAAATGGCCTTTTTCACACCAGAGACGGATTATTCGTGTGAGATGGGTTATCCGTTTGATGATTCGCGTCAGATAGGTAATACTTATTAATTTAATGAACAATCCGCCTGACTTTATCCGTCAATTTCGACGGACAGTTTGAAGACGGGATTATCCGCTTCAGATAGCCTGTGTACGGCCGCTCCCTCCCTTCAGAAAAACTCGGAGAAGGGGTGTCTGTGGGGAGGGCGCGACTGTACACAGGCTAGTCTCAGACGGATAATCCATTTCTAGCTCTAGCGTGAAAACGGCCAATAACAAAATTCCCCTGTCTAGTGTTTTTAATGATAGCGAAGGACTGTACGGAACGACTGTCTGCCGTTGCCTTGTCCGTAGGCCTCATTTTTCTGCGTGGCTAATGAGTTTCAGGTCACGTGGTCCTAGCGAGTTTGCCACCGAAATGCCTTGACCGAGATTGCGTAGGAAGACGCCGTACAGGAACTAGGCATGGTAATGTCTACCGTAGCGTCAGAGAAAAACAGGGAAATGTTGTTTATCGGCAACGTGTTTTACAAACAGTGACATCTCTGCGTTTTGTTTCACTAGTGTTTCGAGGGCACGACCTCCTGAAAATCGCAAATATTAATCCCCTGCAAGAAGCCACACTTTCGCTATGGAAAAAATTAGTTCCCCGAGAGAGTGGAGGAAATGGAGCCTAGGTCTTGGTCAACACCTAAAAGGCGCTTCGCCTAACATGCGTACGGACTCCGTACGCATGTACTACGTGACTCCGTACTTCACGCTAGCCGGGAAATACAAAACGCAACCATAAGTGCAACCTCGTTCCCAGGGTTCTCTCCTACCCGCCCCCTGGAGCGCTCTAGGGGTCGGGTAGGAGAGAACCCTGCGAACGAGGTTGCCATAAGTGAGTTTAGTACGTCCCTGAAAAGTAGCAAATCTAGGGAACAGTTTATTTTACGGTTAACTCCTTTTTACGCTATTTACGGCTACCGGTTAAAATTTTTCAATTTTTACGGCTATCGACTAAATTTTTGGCCGTTTTACGGGTCTTTTACGCCTATCGGTTAACCCCATTGAGACCCTCTTACTTTAATCCCGACCTATCCAATCGAACAGTTCGGCAATCGAACCCAATCGAACACCAATCGTTCGATTGCTGAACTCAATCGAACATAATCGAATTCACAATAAAATTTTGCCAATCGAACACAATCGAACGTTCGATTACCGAACGATTGGTAATCGAACCCAATCGAACGTTCGATTACCGAACGATTGGTATAATCGAACGTTCGATTAACGGACGCCGCATCGCATTTTTTCTCTGTTGCCAAGCATTTCCTTTTAACAGTCACAGTACCTTAACAGTCATCGAAATTGCCTTTTATTTGTTTTGTTTTGTTCGAACATTGACATTCTTGCAGTATGATGTTCAGTTCCTGTTTATTCAATAAAAGCTGACAATGATTATATTCCACGTGTTTTACTCAGTTTGAGGCGTCAAGAGACAATTGCATTGGATTAGTTCGATTTTGTTCTATTATATTGGTTCGATTGGTTCGAAAATCGAACTGACAGCAAAATAGGTGTTCGATTTTGTTGGATTGCCCAACCCAATCAAACGATTGGAGTTCGATTGGGTTCGATTGGTTTTTTGTTCGGTTTTGTTCGATTGGATAGGTCGGGTTTAATTGATACCCCAGATATATTCTAAAACGGAAATGTCATAAGACATTTAAGAATAATACAAGAATATTTTCAGCCTAAAATCGGCAGAAAAATAAGAATATTCAACCTGGGCCGGAGAAACAACTTTCTTATATAAAAAAGAGTGTTATGTTGAAAACACTCTTTTCATGCTTTTATGCTTTTTAGCAGGTCTCTAGAGATGCATTCTAGCTGACACCGCGGCAAAACGCACTGCGCATGAGCACAAAATTTAACATCCGGTCAGCTTTTTATTTCCGTAAGCATAACATTTCCGTCGCACCAAGTTTAAAAGCAAAAAGGGAGAAACAGACAAAAAAGGGGGCCAAAAAAATCACTTCATTCGAAAGCTTATATATTTTTCTAGTGTCAAACTTTTGCACCACATGGTTATCTGTTTGCACCAACGGTGAAAATGATGTTTGAAGTTTGCAGGTCGCGAGCGCTCGACAAGACGAATTTGTTTTTACTGGCTTTCTTGCATGCGACTGGTTTGGCATAAGTTAATTTGGGAGAAGGCGATAAATAAGAAAAGAATGGCAATACTTATGAAAGAAACCAAAATTATCATTAACACTAGGACCAGGAAATAAAATTTTAGCCCGTTCAATAAATTTTTTTATCTTCAGAGAAAACAAGAACTCAAAACAAAAGATGAGCGGGATTTAATAACAACTTCGACTTTGATGACTGCAGTCACGAACACCCAGAGCTTTCAGTGCGGAGAAACTAAACATCCCTATAAATTACTTTCATTCAAGAAAATGCCTATTTAATTCTTTTCATGGTTTTTCTTTGGTTGAAGACTTCAGTAATTTCAGACTGTGCGGCAGGCTGCATCTCATGCAAACACGAAACTCCCAGCTGCTAAATACATGGTATGAAAATTTTAACTTCTAAAAGCCATCAAACCATCTTTCGCTCTCTGATTCTGAGAATGAAAAAAATAAATAAAGATGTCAACTTGCTGCCAACCTCAACAGTATAATTAAGCTTATGTTTCATGGCAATCAACTCAGAAGAGTTTCGTTTCAAAACACGAAAATAAAAAATAAATAAATAAAGCTCGAATCGGCTTTAAGGCATGAAGACTGAGATACTGAAGAACTGAAAATTAGAACTACAATACACAAGCTTGCAATAATAACTTTTTATGTCTTAGTTTCAGCCAGGTTAAGTGAAAAATAACAGTCAAAAACTTTGTTTTCGTGAATGAAAATCAGTTGACCTTACGCTCTAGCCAAAATTACACACTGAGTTATTATCAACTTACCTTTTCTGAATCTAATCGACTAATTGTTTCAGTGATCTGTGCCTGGTTATCCATAAAAGCAATTTCAATAACTACGAAATAGTCAAAAACACGAGCAGCATGAAGCAGAACAACTGAACCACAAGCTGCACACAGAGTGAAGCCGAGCGCGCGCGGGAGACTTTGATCTGACTGGAAAGTGTCACTGAAAAAGAGACCGGAAATGCTCAACCTGGCGCATGCGTAGACGTTTTGCCGCGGTGTTATTCTAGCTATAAGCATCGCTACAACATTTTTATCTGTTAGGGCTTCAGTATTTTTTTTTTCGGAAAATTTTAGGTGCAATTTAAATTTATTGAAATTGCTCGTTTTTTAAATTTTAGTTTTTATCACGAATTTTTGCTCTTTTTCTCTTTATACCACCTTTTTGACAGTGGAGAAGGCCCTGGGTCAGAGAGGTTTTTAATTTTTTTCAATATTTATATGTTAAACATGGTGTCCGAGTATTCGTGGCCCGTTTCAAAAACTTTGGAGGAATTACTCTCATGTGAGAGGTTTGATAAGTCCGCCATTATACAGAGAGATTTAAGTTTATCTCAAGCGTTCTGTTTGTTGTGGCAAAATGACAAAACGGGAGATGTTGCTGGAAGGCAAAGACCGACCGCCATGTCACACACCGCCTGTGCTGCTGTTCTGTTGGATTTGCATGTGCTGGAAAAGGTTGATTTCGAGAAGGAAATCAAACAGTGGATGGACAGAAGAAGACAAGTTATTTCCGTACAAGTGGGTCGTAAAGTCATTAAATCCACTTATACTCCAACTTTATTACTAACGGAGAATCAGGCTACTTAAGGAAATTTATAAGCTTATTAAGGCTTAGCTAAATTTTTTAACAAGCCGTCGAAACACAACACGTATTCCTTTGGAACGACTCAGCCGTTCTTTTCGCCTGATTTGACCAGGAATTTTTACTTTGGAGCAGCTTTTATTCAGACCGAATTTTGGCTTTCGTAGTTTACTTAGGGGCTATTTACGTGATATCAGAATTTGTAGTCTTGCATTTCAATTGGAACAAGCCCATTTCTTCTCCGGATGTTTTTCTCTTCCTGTTTAAAAGATGAACGTCCTGCCGGAGCGGGTTTAATTATGTCTTCATTCCGAAGAATGCTTAACATGGTAAGCTGGTCGTCTTTCTTGACAAACTTCATTCGCGATCTTGAGCAAAACTCATTTTGGAATGAAAGTCATCCCAATATCACTGATGAAGGTTCAATCTCCAGCCATGGGTGTCTTAATTTTGGAAGAATCATGGCTGCATCAAGACACCCATGGCTAGAAACTGAGCCTAAATATCATGTGAATAGCCGGCCCCTTTATTTAACTATAAAGAAAATTTACTGTCTGGATCATTCTCTAAAAGGCAAAATTTATTATGCAAGAAACTTTTTTTGATGTATGAAAGATGGTAAAAAGTTAAAAAAGGTTGAAAAAGGTCCAGAAAAACAGGATATCTCCATCAGGACCAGTGTATGTGTTTGTAATACAGAGCAAGAGTCTTTGGCTCAATCTTGAAATCTTGGAAGCATTTGTGATGGGTCTCAAAGTCTCAGTGTTGGGTGATTTTCAACTGGGAGGCTCAAATTTTTGAAGTCTCGGTCTCGAATTTTGAAATCTCGCAGTTTCGCAAAGTCTTAAATTTACCATTCTTTTCCCCTTTTGTTTTATTTTACTCATGAGTTTTACAGGTTGTTACACGGAGGATGAGCCCAAAAGGCAGCCATTTTATGTGGTGGGCATTATGTATATGTTCTGAGAAGTTTTTACATCATATTTTGAAATTTTAAAATTTTCTGCTTAAAACTGTTCAGTGTCTGAACCAACAGGTAACTTTTATCAACATGGGGTTGACCCAATGTCTGGTTAAGTGACCTTGAAAAGTTTGGCATCTGTTTATAATAAGCTCATAATTTTGCTTTGTTCAGTATGAAAACAATGAGAGTCATAAAGTCAATACAAATATATCATATGCACAGGTTAAAGATGCCACAATGACGAGTTCGTACTTGGACAAAGCACTTTTTTCAGACATTGTCAAATACCATAATAATAGTATGGGACGGAAAAAAACAACTGTTGAATGGATTATTCAAGGATCTCATGAAAGAGAAAACTCAGCAACTGCAGTCTTGGACAGCCTAGTGCGGCGGGGGATCCTTGGTAGGGAATCAATGCTTTTTGGAAGGAAATATCCAACACTTAATTCTGGTAGGCAAAGTTTTGTTTGTAATGAATTTGCTGTCTCCTTTTTTGTTATGCATATTGAATTTTACCTTCCCCCAACTTCCCCAGGCATATCCGGGGACAAGAAAAGCTTTTTCTGACCTGAGGGCCGGAAATGCCTTAAAAAACTTCTTGGAGTTCTTGTGTACAGTCAATCCATCTTAGTTGAAAGCTGTTTGCATGTCACTGCATCAATAACTCTGCATTGAAAGCCTCCAAATGTCAGTTTTATAAAAATACTTTCAAAACTAGTGCTGCCTAATAGAGGTAGCCTGAGAAAACAGCTGACATTTTGCAATGCCACAACTGCTTTCCCTGCAAAATGACATCTGAGAAACGTGTGCAGAATTCCTTTACTGACGATGTGTTACTTCAAAGATCTGAGTAGTGGTATGTCATCAGTATGGAATTTCAGACATCATTTTGTGAGAAAACCAGTGGTGGCATCGCGTAATGTTGGCTGTATTCTCATGCTAAATAGAGGTGTTCTGAAGGGATGTTGCATGTAATATGGTAAAATCTAATATTTAGAATCCAGACATTGTGTGGATCTAGTGATGGTGATGTAGAAATTAGGTAGAAAAAACATATCTGGTGTGAAGTGTTGATATGTGTTCAACCAATTTGATTGATCCATTAGTCATTACATTTCAAAAGAAGTCTATAATGAACTGCAAAAAAGTCATATTCAAAGGAAAACAGGTTTTAACATTAATTGGTCTTGGGGTTCACTGTGTGTATACCTGTAGGAGACAGTTTTCATTGGGTTCCCTGTAATGTTAGCTCATCATCATGAAAAAAATAGTCTGAACATGCTCTGTGGTTGACAATCATGTTGGATGTACACGGTATAATCTAAGTGATCTTGGATCACTGATCCTGATCATGATCATCCCAATGGAACATACCCATTACTAATTAGATAGGTATGTTTACATGTGTCCAACACAGTGGATGTTTGTTTAATGTTGTTTGAATATGAAAGTGGATCATGTTTCGTTGATCATCATGTCAACACATCACGCTGCTATCCTACCAGGTGACTGTGTTAATAAAGGTGTAATATAGTTTAGTATTAGCTAATAGTTAGTGGGAATAATTCTAGAGGGTCAGGGGTTTTGTTTGAGGCCAGACGCTGGACAGAACATCAGGTTGTTTGACATGTAATGTCTGGTAGTTCAATAATAATTGCCAAATTAATTATATTTTCATTTTTTGTGGTAATTTTTAATGCCTTAAGAATCTTAAGGGTTAACCAATTCTGGTCTCCAGGGAACTCAGAAAATTGTGTTTCAGAGAGTCCAATTTTAAAACTTTTCTGGGGAAACATGCCCCCCACCCCAGAAGTTTGTGCCTGTGAGTCCACCAGCTGAATCTCTGCATCTGGAGCTTCCAAAGGGTGACTGTGTGAACTTAATAGATGTGATCCCTAAATGAAGGATAAATTTATAGTAAGCATGGGCGACCAATTTTAGGAATTTGAAAATGGTGGCTTAATGGTGGTTTGTCTGTTTGAATATGTATTGTTGGTCATTATAGGCGGTAATGTACTGATGGTGGGTACAGTTTTATGAGGTCAAATTATTTTCAATCTTTCAATTGTAGAGGCGGTAAATTTAAATTTATAATAATTGTACAGTTTCTTTGATTTTTGGTTTAATATTATCCAGATCCTGAAAAAAAGCTCATAGATGAAATAAGAGAGGTTGTTCTCAAAAATCAACCTGCAGATTCCTTTACTTGGACTCTTCTCAAGCTGGTATATGAAGCAGACTGTTGTTCCAGTAAGAAAGCACGTGTCCTTAGCAGATATTTTTCAGCTGACGAATTTCAAGGGGCACAAGAAGTAATCAAGGCTCTTGTTACTGTACCTGTTGAGGACAGCTTGATTGCAAGTCCTGATGCAGAAAGTCTTGAGTCATTTGAACTTAAAGTAGTCGAATAGTATGGGTGGCAAGAGAGGTACTTTAATTAAACTGTTTGTTGCAAATGTGCTGATATCCTTGCTCTGGGCCTCCAAAAGACTCAAAATACTGGAAATTTCAAATTTCTTTTGATGTTGATGGGCAATGGCTTCAATAGTCTGACAGGAAAGTCATGTTGCGTACTCAAATGGTGGTGCACAGGTGGGGGCCTAAAACAAGGGGTTTAGCACTGTTTGACAGAGGGACTAACCCAGAGTTTAGTATCATTTGTGATGCAGGCTATTAAACTTAACAATGCTAAAGAAACAAAGTTCATTTACCATAATGACAAGAGGTGCTCAATGTACCTTTATCAATTAAATTGTGGATTGGCACATAAAACAACAACAAAAACATAAAATTTCCTCCAGTTCCCATATCATCTAAAAGCCTTTTCAGGCATCAAGACAAGAAAAGTGAGGAACTTGTCAGTTGTAACTTCATTGAATCAATTGCCAGTTAATTTGTTGTTTTGGAAATGGTGTGTCGTAGGAGAAGAGGTTAATGTTAGCCATGGCCACCAATACGACATTTTGGTATTCTTTCAACATTTCTGATAAGTAAAGGGGAACCAACCCCCCCCCCCCCAAGTAAAGTTGCAGTGTAATATATGACTTTGCCATGCAAATACAATGTGTCCATCAATCAATACCTTTTATTTAAACTCAGTGGGGGTTAAAGCTTGTTGGTCGTATGTAAAAGTAGTTAATAATAATTTTCTAAAAATATCCAAAAAAAAAAAAAGAGAATTAGTGAAAAGTAAGTAAAACCAACAAATGCTTCAAGGAATTTATACAAAGCAATAAACGTGATGTGTCATCTCTTGCAATACAATGTAATGATATGATACACTGAGAACTTTTTCTTCTTCAATCTGTTAGCGTTGCGAAGACTTAAAAAACCTGTTGGCACTTTGTGTCACCGTACGTAATTTGTGGCACGGAATGGCATGTGGATTGGTATGATATATATGTAGGTCGAGCCAGGGTTATTTTCTTTCCCATAACTGTACAATTTACTGCATTCTGCAATGTCATTCTCTTGTTTACACTTTTGTACTCCCCCTCCGTTTATATAAATACTGATAACCACAAAGGGTCCCTTTTAGTTGTACTGTATATAGTGTTTTTTTATTGTCTAGTATAACGAGGCCTGTGATATTTAAATGAAGCGGACTCCAGTATAGAAAACGCTTCTGTCCTTTTCGCACAGTGACAGAGCTTTGAAGGCGGAGTTGAGGATGGCGTCATTATTTATTTTCTAGTATATTTACACTGTATAATTGGCGCGTTATTGAATCGTGTGGTAGCCTACGCTGATTGTAATAAATTGTGCCCTGACAATTGACACAACTGGCCTGTTGGTTGATAACCATCAAAGTAAGCTACTTCCACATATTCACAGCTGAATTCTAGGGGCACCAACGACTTTTTTCTGTTCGTTAAGGAGCAAATGTCGGGATAACTGTAGCCTGCGTGGCAGGCGTTTGAAAGGGAAGGGAAAGTAGTTTTAGGCACGAGAGAAACGCGAGGGGCGCGCGAGGAGGGAGGGAAGGAAACGCATTTCCCTCCCTCCCTCCTCACGCGCCCAGGCCCTCGCATTTCTCTCGCGCCTAAAATTCCCTTTCCCTTCCCTTTCAATCGCCTGCCACGCAGGCTAGGATAACTGTTTCATTCTTCTGGGATATGCGGACTTTTTCTACTAACTCACAGTCTGCGATTTTTGGAGGTTGTGTTTTTCACCAAGATATTGCAATAATTGTTAAAAAAAGGTATCATGAAAATTTCGGTTTAAAGACCCCTAAGACGATACGGCTTCTCCATCTCCCGGGCCCATCAGGTAAGCTAACAGTTTCGGATGAGACGGAAAAGGCACACAAAACTTTCGCGACGGCCAAAGTTCTCCAAAGACATCCGAATAGAAGAGGTAGCTTGAAATTAACCAAAGAGGCTTTTAAAAGCCTAGAGAAAATCGCTTTAGACACTTCTGACGTATTTGGAAACATTCGGTTGTTCGGTGCCCCTACAACTTTAACGTAACATTTCTTTAATGTTCTTTGCACATGTTTCAACCATTGTCCTTAAATCACTGGGGTCCCCTTGGGGAATGTGCCCTATTTAACAAACGATGTGGACAAAAATCAATTCAAAAGATTGTATCATCTGAGGAGCAAAAAGACGTATGGAGGGAGTTTGATGAGCAACTATTTTACAGATTCAATTTTGTCTGGGAAATCACACGGAAAGTCTCCAAACGAATGAAAAACGAGAAGTCTAAAGACTACTGCAAAGCTGATCATAACAACGCGTATTGCCTTTTTTTGTAACAGGTAAACAGATTTAACATCTGTAAACCTGAAGAAAGTTTGCAGTAGACTTTGGACTTCGCGTTTTTTTTCTTAATCTCCTTTCTAGAGATCCAACGTTGACAACCAGCAGGGGTCTTCGTTCACGGTTTTTGCAGTTATTTACTTATGCAAAAGAATGTATCGGAAAATTTTCAAGAGAATTTGTTTTGTCATCTGGGCCAAAAAAGTTTCCATCAAGGTTAGAACTAGGTATGTGAAAGGGATACCATTCGTCAATGGAAGGTATTCCAAAGGGGTACCTTTTCTGACAGAAAATGGGATATATTAAAAGGGTAAGGAGTTGGATCTCGGCCCGGCGGAGCCTGTGAAACCGAGGGGTGGTACGAAGCCCACTCTTTATTACCTTGTCTTTCTAACCGACTCTTCTGTAAAAAAAAAATAAAAAATGCACTTTATTTCAGTGTCAATGTATTTAGCAAGAAAGAACTAATTGGGGAGACTATTTTTACGTCTCCTACTGGAGACGGGACCGTCATTTTACGTGGTCATCCGAGCCAGGCAAAGGTCGAGCCATTTGCAGGGCAAAGGCAGTGAGTATTGGTCCGGTCCTGGGATATGCCCAGAAATACACGCAGTGGCGAAAATGGCAGAAATCGCGATTAATCGCCAAATTGATAACAAAAGTTCAAATGAAAATTTGGCATCCAATTTGAATATTTGCCGCATTCTGGATATTGCCAACCCTCTGGCGATTTTTCGCTGTTTGTGCCAAACAAGGGGCCAGGTGATTTTTCGCCATTTGTGCCAAATTCGACATTTTTGCCAAAATCGCCACTCTCCATCGGGCCACTTTTGGCATCCAGTTTGAATCGCCAGCCTTCTGGCGTTTTTTGCCATTCTCGCCATTGCATGCATTTCTAGACATAAGTGGGTCTGGGTCCCGGGAATACAAACAGTGACCTGCCGCTCTGCAGTCAAGCGTTCTACCGACTGAGCTAATCCTGCTGCGGTTAAGTTTATTGAAATTGGGTCAAAGGTGGGCAAGAAATATGAATTGTTTATGGAAAGATCTATCTACGAGTCTTTCACTGCGGAAGTGTTAGCTCAGTCAGTAGAGCGTATGATAGCCTGTTCCAGGCTCCGAGATAGTCGGGTCCGCTGAATTGAGAAAGTGCAATCAAGAAAATAAAACTTTTCGCGAACCTTTTTCTTTCGCGTCTTCCCCACTATCTGAGGGCCTGAAACAGGCTAAGCGTGTGACTGCAGAGTGGGAGGTCGCAGGTTTGATTCCCAAGACCGGACCAATACTCAGGGTCTTAAAATAACTCAGCAATGAAGGTTCTGACTTCTCCCTTTGCACTGTAGCGTGGCTCGGATGACCACGTAAAGTGGCGGTACCGTCGCCATAGTTTCCCCTATTAGTACTTTCGTGCTAAATACATTGACACTCAAATAAACTGCTTTTTTTTCATTTGGTCAAGCACCTTTAAATAGCCAATATCTCGAACCTTGACGGAAACGTTCCTGGACCTTTCTGGCCTAGAGGACAAAAACAAATTCTCCTGAAAATTTTCTAATGCATCATCTTGGAGACTTTCCGGGGAACATGCTCCGTTGTTAGGGCTCTCTCTTTCACCCAATTTTTGGTTCTCGGGATTGATGGTCTGGGATTTATTCCCAAGAAACTGGTCAAGCACAAGATTTTTTAAGCCACCAAAAATATACTGGAATGGCCGGCAGAAAAACAGAAAAAAGAAGCCTCAGAAAATATTCAACTTTTTTTGGTAGCAGGCTGTGCGCGATGGTCTTAGGACCTTTGGCACGTGGTTGAGGCCCATCTATCGAGAAAGCATCCATTGGCGAGAGGCCAGCCAAATAGGCCATTTCCGAGTTCCAAAAAACTTTCACTTTCAAAACGAGGCTAAGTGCAAAACCTTTCTTGTGAATGAATTTTTTGCGTGAAAATGAAAATCATTTTAAGATCGATGGCTTCGCACTTAGCCTCGCTTTGACACAGAGGCTTGAGGCAACTCGGAAATGAGCCTACAGTGGAACCCTATTCAGGAGAATGAGCCCTCCTCCGGCCCACGGTTGGTTAGTCAGATGACTATTTCAAGCTAAAATCTTAACTTAATTTAGGTCGATCCAAATTACAGTTGGGTTCGTCTCATGAAAAGCTCGACGTTTGGCCTAAGCGTTATAATCTTATAACAATGCACCTAAACTTCCTGCAATCTCTATTAGAAAGCAACTGCCCGATTAAAGCAAACGAACTCGCTACCAATTGCTCCAGGAAGTCTATTAAACGTAGCTTAAGCATAAAGACCGGCAGGACGCCAAAACGTTGACAGAAGTATTTTCACACAATTTATTTCTACGATACCTCGCGCTTCGCTTAATTTTTTTTAAAAAAACCTACCGTTCTTTCGTGCGATCTACCAATAAGCATACCAATAAACTCGAAATAAACGTATTTACATTTATCTCATGTGAACCGCTAACCGCTATTTATCTCACGTGAACCGCTAACCGCAAAGCGGCTGATAAAACGGTGCAGTAAATACATTTTCTAGAGTGGACAATGTTCAAAAAATGATTACGTTAAACTTTTTTAAAAACACAGGCTAGCTTTTTTTCCACGAAAAAAATCGCAAACATACAGACCTGTAATTGAAGGTACAAAAATAAATATTTGACACGACCGTAACCCTAGCGGCTTGTGCACAGCCGCGCGCCTTCCCCCGGAATTTTTTGAAGGAGGGGGCGGCTGTACACTGCAGGCAACTATGGCCTCTCATCGATTAGCAAACAACGTCATTGTTGGTCAATTCAGGTAATTCTGTCCTCTGTGATAAAAACATAGTTTCGACAAGCAATCGCCTCTAGAATTCCATTCCCTTTTTCACGAATTTCAAATAACATATCTATGTGTTACGTCATTGAGGCAATTTCAGCCTGTTTTTCCATAAATAGAAGTTGGTCCACTAAGAAGCAGTCTCCTGGTTTATCTACAATTTTTGCCAGGCCATCCAGAATTGAATCTTCATTGCTAATCTCGTCTCCAAAGCGAGCTTTTTTCAGGTAAGAGTACACCCGATGAAACGCTTCAACACCAAGCAGTCGTTCACACTCGCTAACTGTGAATTAAGGATTTGGTTTCCTGCTCTTAACCTGAGTAACACTGGAAAAATTATCAACAAGAGAAACGTGAAACTAAGTTTAGTTAGGTAGTGCTTTAACATGCGAGCAGACAAGTACGTGGAGAATTCTGGCGGCACGAGCAAGCAAAGCCGGCGACAACAATGGGCACCTCCGCCGCCAAAATTTTCCCCGAATTCTGGGAGCCTGGTTTTTAACTGGTTTTGAGATATGATAATATCATCAAAAATTGAACTGTAGAAAGTAATGTAATTATGTTGTCAATCAAAACAAGACCACTGAACAAGTAAATTGTCCTTTTCTGTGAAGCTTAATATTTGTAAATCGAACTGGGCAAATTGCTTACATCAGCGGCAAATGAACAGTATAGAGCGTGTTCCGAATCTCTTAATTTTTTTTGTCTTCACTACCACAGCTGCTATTCTCAAAAGGATACGTCCGTAAGGCTTGAATTCTCTGATGTCTCAATGAGTCTGTAAGTTCACTCGGGTTTGAAAATTCAGCTTCAGCAAATGTATCATCAGCAGATGATGTCTGATCCAATGCATCCTGCATTTGTCCCATTAGTGCACTCAAATCATCTTCATCCGGCTCAACTTCGTTTTCACTGTCATCATTTTCAAACTCATCTTCAAACTGGGAATAAAATGTTTCTGCTAAGTCTGCATCATCAGGAATTTCTGTCACATTCGTTAAAGCCAAAGAATCTTCACCTGAAATGAATTTAACTTGATCACAAATCATTTTAAACGGCTCACAAAATCACTGGTCCTCGCCAGTGAGGGCTCTAAGCAGTCTCAGTGTTTATAGCGTAGCCTCCGCGCGCGCGAAGCGCGCACAGCGGAGCACCATGGGTAATAAAATTTGGTAAACTATCCGTCCGTACGGACTTTCCGGGTAGGGGTAAGTAGAAACGAATTCCTTCCTTCCTCCCTCGAGAGTTTTGTCCCCTATTGTTTCAAAAGCCTTTAGAAATGATTGACAAATCAGAATCTGTCAACTGACCAAATGTTTGGTAAATTTTATGGGGGCCGACCATTTAACTTCTGAGGCGGTTATGGGTGATTTGGGAAAAAATGTCCTGCAGACTGATTTCGAGAGGATAAAAGCACGCAAATAAATTCCTGGTGAGAAAAATATCCTGAACTGAGAAAAATATCGTTCATGACGGACAATGCTGAAAAAAATCTTACACCGTTATATGTCGGGGAAAAAATTTCTAACTCCAGAGACTATATCAGTAAAATCACCCATACCCCGCTCCCCCACAAATGTCCAATGGTCATGTTAACCATTTAGGGGGTGAGGGAAGAAACGGATTTGACACCTTTGTAAATGTCATCCATGAACAGAATGGCTGGCGCGCGTTCATGATGTGGTGGTTTTCAAGACTAAAGTTTTCCATTTCAAGATTGAAAACACGCCCATAAAAGACACAAATGGAAAGAGAAAGTTCAAAAGAATGCTCAGTTTCTTTTTTGTGGACAAACGAAAGCTTTTCGCTCTGAAATTGTCTTTCGAGGGATCCGACCTTGTTTTCTACACGGCGGATCGGACCGCTTGGCTTGTTTTGAACCAACCAAGGCAAAGAGGTTTCTGAAGACACTTGAGGTACATTCCGTACTCTATGATCAAAGAAAAGTACGTTTTTAAAAAGGAATTTTTGTATTTCACGGAGACGCTTTCTACATTATGACATCGGCGTGAAAGAAAAACCACAAAATGTGCATTTGAAATTAATTTTTTTACCATGTGCTCGACCGATTTAACTTGGGTGAACGCAACTATTTAACTTGTCATACGCAAATTGCTTTTTAGGACTAAGGTATGGGTTTTTGAATAAAAATTTTCAAGAAATTAAGTTATTTATCTGTCATTGTTCATTCATAACATTAGCTCAAAAAACGACCATGAGACTACAGATCGTAAGATTTTTAGAAACATTCAGACGGGCCCTTTCTTGAATTAAAACTGAAGCGTTGTTTTTTAGTTTGTACATGTCCCGCATTGAATTGCTATTCATTTTCTCATTCATTACTTGCCATTCAAGAATAATCTAGTTTCGAATTAAAAATTACTGCTGAATATAAACATTAACGACACATTCATACAGGGGTAGCCTCGACGTAAAGTAAAATATTCAGAAATTCCGGTAAGTAAGTGTTTGAAATTTGAATATACACAATAGATAGAGTAATAAACAGGTCTTTTTCTCGTGGCAATTTGTGAATATATTACTTCAGATGGAGGCTAAGGCTGTAAAAAATGCGTCTTCAGTTCTTTAATTCGGCGGTCATAGCGAACTCGAAAGTGGACTTTTTTGCAGTGTGTAGAATTCAAGAATTACTGCAGTTTTGCAGTGTTCTGCTCTTTTTCCATAACTTGTGCCCTGAATACAGCTGAATACTGCTTGAATTTTGCGTTTGCGTTTGCGTTTGTTTTCAGTTGCTTGTTTATGGCTTTATATTCTCACTGAAAAAGTGAGCTTATCGAAAAAATGAAAGAGTTCTCCTCTCTTCCAAAACGGACAGACTCTCCGGCTTTTCGAGCCCGAGGTTTTCTTTTTTTTTAATAAAAAAAAGTTGTAAGTTGCTGTATTAACGTTTGTATTTGTAGTGAAAGATTGGATTATTGTTATTAGTAGCGTAAAAGGTTATCGTTTGCTTTCCTATGTCTGTCCTCCGAGAAAATATTATACACCTTACAGTAAAATTTTCTTTCAGATATTGTGAGGTATAAATGTAAAGGCTACACATAACTGTTCGTCCGGGCCCGTTTAAAAAAAAAAGAAAAGAAAATATAATGGGCTTACGGGAAGACGAAAGTCCTTAAGTCGGCCTGATTTTTCTCTTAGGTCATGCCTTAAACACAGAAACACCGACCCTAGAAATCGTAACCTGTAAATTGCTACTACTTAAGAGACCTACAATTTAACAATTTTTTCAATTTAGGTTTGTTTGCGGGATATTTTTTCTTAATCATTAAGCCCCCTCCTTCTAAAGGTGTCTGATGCCGAAGGCTCTTAGGGATGTAAAGATTTCATTTGTTTTTGGGCTTAGAGTTCATGTTATCACTTTAATTTGATTGCTTTTATTATGAGTAAAGAAACGGAGGCTTCGCTTTTAGCCCCGGCTAAATCTATACATTAGATTGTACAAGGGCATACTTCTTAAAATCTTAAATTTCACCTCAAACTACTATTATCCTTGTACCGTTTAGTTCATGGATCAATATAAACGTCAGGTCGAAATAGGACCTTATGCATAACTTGTACGGGCGAAGAAATCTGCCCAAATATCACGATTCCAACAAGCAGGCAAAAAATAAATGCAAAGTACAAGAACGCCATCTAGGAACAACTCGAAAAATTCGTACACAGGTCGTTTACGTATAAGCTCCATAAAAATAAAAAACAAATTAAGCAAAGAATGGAAAAGAACGGGAACGATTGAAATCGAAAAATGAAACTGGGGCTTATTTTTTAAGAAATGACTCCATATCCCCATATCAGGGAGCTCCTGAGGTTGTAAGGCTTTGTCCATGCAAGGTAACTGCACGCTCAATACCAGGGAATGAGGCTGTACGTTGTGTATGACTGTTAGCACTAATGAGAGACTTTGGTCGCATGATATCAGAACCGACAGTATTAAATATTCCAAAACTCATTTTAATAAATGTCCCCAGAGGCGATGAGCGAGGATAGACGGTTGTATTCGCAGGCTATGGAATGAGGGCTTACTTGCAGAACAGAGCTGGTCATAGTTGTTGTCACTTGACATTGGTACCGAAACTGTTATGGGTGAAGAAGGTTCAAGTTTGTCTGCAGCTGTGATAGTGAATGCAGCATCATTAAACACATCGGGATGCTCCTCAACCCATGGTAATGACACCTGGTTCTGAAAGTAAAATGGGAAAAGGGGACGAGGACGCTGAAACCTCCATCAACTGGTAATCAGTAACTAATATTACATAGGATCAAAAGAGACATATGAAAAACAGGTAACCTTTAAAACAGAAAGTGGAGAACTCGGCCTTAGGCCTACCTGCTTTTTCTTATGTGAACTGTACTGTGCTTGGTTTTCAGCTGAATGGAGAGCTGTATACCTCCTGGAAGAAACAAAAACTGTTTGAAAACTATTTTGGCACTGGTCAAGATTGACGATAAAGAGAAGAAATCTCATGGATGCCGCCAAATCATTTACCCGGGCCTCTGCTTCACAGAGAAAACTAAAGCATCTCGTTACACTTATGCAACGCAGCAGTTTTTTGATTCCAAATTAGGTAAACGCTCCACTGGCATACAGTAAGATGCTTGCAAAGAGAAAAGGGCTGGTAGACTTCACTGATGATAGCCTTAACTTGGTAACCCTGTGCAACAGTCAGACAGATTAAGAACTCCCAGGATTCTTAAAAACTGGGTACTCGCAACTCTCGTGCAAAGAACAAGTTACCTAACTACTTACAAGGGATGGATGCACGACATTTCTGTTCAGGGTAACTAAAAAAGTATACCAATTAAGGGAACATATTTCTGAGACAGTGTGTCAATGAATATGACGCCTGTCCCAGTTGCCATTCGACAATATTTGTATTGCACAGTGATGTCATCTCATACAGGTGTTTTAGTGTCTACCCCGATAATTTACAAGTTTTATTTACACGAATTTAAAAAAGAGGGACTGTCGTCACCGGGAAGACGAGTTAACGGGTTTGACAAAGAATTGTGTGTTCATAAAACACAGAAGGTGAAACACTTAGGAGGCAGAAACCCTTATTTATTCAAATCTCTTGCAATCGTAAATAAAAAAAGCACCCGTTTCTCGACACACAATGCATCTAGATTGAACGTGGGTCTATTAAATTGAACGTAATTACAGTATCAATTTGTTTAAATTACCTGTGATCACAAACAGAGAAAAACGAACCTTATTCTTTCAGCTTCTTCATCAGCTCTTTGCTGCTTTCTCAATTTCATTTTATCCCTGTCAATAATAAAATGAAATAGATATTGAATAGACAAGTAAACTTTTAGGAACTTGACCGGCTTTGTATTACAGCTGGTGATAGAAATAGATGTAAACGTTATTTTTCATTATACTTTCGATAGCCTTTTAGATAAGAATTTTGTGCTTTCATTGACCTCGTCGTCGTTTCGGTCCATAAAAGCGCTTAAAACAAACGTGGCCAATATCCACTCATGATGATCTCACGCATTGAATGAAGAAAAAGGCAATGAGAATCGAACTCAGGAACAACTCTAATAAACTCTCTGTCTGCTCAGACTTAGATGACAAAACGACAAAATGATTTCCGAAATTTTCGATATGATTTGACTCCACAACTGGATTTCGTTCACTGACCCATGCAAGAGTTACGTCATACTTAAGGAAGGCTCAATCAAAGCCCTGGCCGAGAGACGTAAAAAGTTAAAATCTTACAATGCGAGTCAGCGAATGCCAACAGGCCATGGTGGACAGTATTAAAGGATTTGGTTCACATAATGAGGATAGAAAATAAATTTAAGTATTTCATACTATCTCATTTCCAAATGCACTAGTTTGGTGGCATCCCAACTGGGCAGCGCGTTGGTTCGAGACACGAATGAAACTTATACAACCCTTCAAAATCGCTAGTAAAAAATATAGGCTCTTTAACAAGCTGAATATCAGACATTTGACCACAAAGCAATCGATAGACCAAGCAATGTTGTGTTAAAGAAATGATCAGTACGTATTGGAATAGGTGAATCCTTGTTTCTAAGTAGGTAGTAATCCATTTTAAACAATTCTTTTTAGTGCTTTCCTGTCAACTGAAGTTATGCGCACCATCTTCCACAACGTTTCTAGATGTGCTGCAATAAAAATTTCTCTGACCATGGCTCAAAGGCAAACGTGACGTACGTTTGAGTGGTGCCTTACCCCTCCCCCCCAACACACACACACACACAGCAAGAAAGACAGGACGATTCTTGCTAGACTTCTAACCTGCCCAACTAAAAGTGAAGACATGCACGAGGTACACGAGCATGTTTATGGAAAAGAAAACATTTACACAGGCTTGCAAAGGCTTAGAAAAACGGTTTCACGCACCAATTACCACCTTAGGAATGCTGAAAGCGGACGCTCCTTGCAAAACTAGAAAATAGGACTAAGATCAAATAAGAAGAATTTGACACTCTGGTGCCAATAAGAAGCTGTTAAACTTGAGCGCTTTTTATTGTGGTCACTAATTTAATTTTGGCCAAGAATGAAGACGAAAGAGTTAAAAGACTGCAGCAAGGTATCTCACTATCTCGGAAACGCCTTTAAGATTTTACTCGAAATCTAACTTTGCTAACTCTTGGTGTGTATCATAAGCTCACAAATCAACTGCTCTTTCGTTCAAGAGTAGAGTGTTGTATCCTGCCTTCTTTAATTTCTTGTGGAAAAAGCTCACACATGTCAAGCATACACTATGTTACGGTGAAGGAAAAGGGTAAGTAGACCTTAAGGAGAAAATGATTGAGAAGAGAAAAGAGAACTGAAGAAGATATCAAAGACAAAACAAACAAGTTGTGGCTAGCAGTAGGATGTGTACCTACATTGGTGTAAGAGGCCTGCCCGCTTCTGGTTCTTGATACAAGCTGCTGCCTCCTCGACGCTCATAGGACTCTCCTATTTTACTCTCCTTATTTGACCTATAACATGCAAAATGATTTAAAGTTACCTCGGATGTGATCATATCTTAGGCAAATTGATTATTGCTGAGAGTGAGCTTGAAACAAGTCTGGTAGAAAGTTCGTGACTGTCTGTTACCTGTAACTGTTGTTTTTATTTTCCAGTTGCTGTTGCAAAAGATAAATAAGACAAATAATTTTGCCCTCCTTTCCAAACTAAGGACATCGTTGTTTTTGCTTTAAGGAATTTCGGCTGCGAACGACCACATTAATTATTTATGGCTTAGTACCAACAACTTTCTTGCAGCTGACAAAACATAAATATTTTACCAATGTATCTAATGTCCATTCCAACAACTTAAGAAAATTAACTCTTCAGTAAAACTGCGTACAGGCCTATAAAGTCGGATACCGATATCTATCGCTTAAAAGTGTGCAACACTTTACGAATGTGAGTCCTTTTGAAGATGGCACCTTATTAGCCCTTATTAGCAGCTACAAGCTCTGTCACCCAGTACTCTCTCAGTCTTTGTCAACTCTATCACCTTTTAGCCACTATCAGTTTGCTTTGAGGAGGAAAAGCAGCCTTTGTCGGCCTGCTGAGCAACTGTCAACCCTCTTGTCAGCAATGTACCATGTAACCCCTCTTAGTCTGTCAGCCTCTCAGCCATCTTAGGTAGGTGAGCCCTGTCAGTACTTACCACTCCAGGCTGTCAAATCTATCAGCATTTACCAGACCTTGATAGTCCTGTTAGCCCTAACAATCCTTATCAACCCTGTAAGACCCTGTCGGTCACTCACCCCTCTTACCCTGTCAGCCCTTGTCAATAAGCTTTAAGGAGGGCAAGCAGCCTTTTTAACCCTGTCAACCTGTTGTTCTGTCAGCCTCTTTGCTCTCTCAGGCTGTCTGTCAGACTGTCAGTCCTGCTAGTCCACGTGAGCCCACGTGATCTATAAAACATAGCTTTAGTTCTAGAAATACAATACTTACTGTTCTATTCGACATTTTATTTTCTGCAATCAAAAAGAAATATTGTTACTTTTCTTAAATGTATGTCAAAGTATGAAATAGTCTAAGAAAGGTGAAGAGAGAAAAACGCAGAATAAAGGAACACAAAATTCTAAACACTACAAATTCTGTTTTGGCAATTTGATCAAGCAATATAAGGTTAAATGAACAAAGGAAAAACAAAATTGGACACCAAGAACATGCTTTGGTTACTAAGACCAGTTGACTAGTTATACCATAAGATTACCAAAGGTCAATGCAAGCCATTAGAAAGGGTAATAAACATTTGCATGAAGTCAAGACTAAAACAAACGAATCACAATCACAACTATTGCAATGCATGCAGGCCTCAACAACTTTATGTAATAAATAAAACAAGAAAGGGGAGTTGATGCTGACATCAGATGATACACTGAACCAATCAAAGCAGCAGCTGACATTGAGCTGACCCAGGGGCTTGAAACACTTTTTCCAAGGGCTGAGTGAATGATAAAGTATGCAAGAAAACCTTGCCCATGATTTCTTGGGGATCAGGGGTTTGAATGAATTCAAGTAACATTGACTAACTGGCCTGAGCAACGGATCTTTGTCTTTGCTGCTCAGCCCATGCACAACCAAAAATAAAAAAAACATCCTTGAAATGTGGATCCAGGTAAAGTGTTAGCTTTATACTATTTGAATCAGAAGGGTCATCTTGGACTCCCACATTTATATGAAATGTACACTGTATAATTATGATATTTTATGCTGGTCTGCATAAATCTGTCACTGGTTGTGACAAATTCATTCAATACTACTGAGTGTATGCTTTCAGTCATCCATCGAGAGGTTCAGATTATAATCAAAATGTTGTTCCTTTTCCCCTGAAATTAATAGGTATAAAGGAGAGGCAGACAACATACCGCTAAATTCTCTGCAACATAGTCATTTCTAAGAACTTCACTTGCACTTGGTCGATTGGCTGGGTTTTTATCTAACATCCTAAAGAGGCAAAATAAATTAAATTTATTCAATAAACAAAGCACATTAGAAATCCAATCATATTCATGTGTGAGATATTATATCAGATCATTTTGAAGAAGCATAATAATCTCCTGGTGAAAGTGAAATTCAAAATGAGCCAAGTAGCTTGCACGAAAACAAGGTAAATTTGTGCCAATAAGATTTTCATCCCCATAAAAAAAATTAGGAAGCAGTCTGTCAACTACAGTAAATAAATACATAAGCAAATATGATGTTAAAGGACAATAAATTACCCCACTCACTCTGGTCTACCCTGGTTTTACTGCCGGCATGTTTCCTTATTTCTAAAATATAATTATTATTTTACAATCCTCTGATGATAATAAACATACCTCTTGTACAAATCCTGTAGCTGTTCACTGTATTTTTCAGGTAGTTTAGGTGGCTCTCCTTCCACAATTCTATACATCACACTCATTAAACTCTGAAACAAAATATATTTAGCTTATAGCAATTCCTAAAAAATAATGGCCATGCTGGCCAGTTACAGGAAAAAGGAATCATGAAAATTCACTGACTTTGAACAAATTAACCTATATTTAGGAGCAAACTGATCCTGGTCACAAAATTCATTTAGCATGGAGAAAGGCAAACTGACCACGGTTGAAAACAAACTGATCTAAAACACACATTGACCTACAGCATTTTTATGTTACATGCAGGGTACATGGCAAAAGCTGTTGAGTAGGCAGAGACGGAAAAAACTCACACCACAGGCATTCAGTATTCTGAAGCAAAAATTAGAGTGTTTGAACAGAACACAGACATTGTTAAATTTGGCTTTTTGGGGTCTTTTTTTCTAAAGAAAAGTAGGCGGCGAGTTCACGTGAAATAGCTGGTGAAATCTGCCACTCTTATTGAGAACCCTGTTACATGTATGTGCCATAGTTAGCTTTCTCAGCATTGCATGGCTTGTTCATGTTGGACACAGATGTGAGTAAGACTGGCCTAACAGTTCTTTGTCACAGGTCCCTGGAATTTGAGCAGTTGTTGTTCTAGACACAAAACGGTGGTTATAAGGTCATCTTAAGTCAGTACCCGCCACACAGGTCTTAGTACTTTATTCCCAGAAGATGTGAGTGTTAGGTAAGGGAAAATACATTTCATCGAGTAACCAGGACTGGAAAATACAGATTTTTTAGTTTACTTCACCCTTTCCTGCCATTTTTCAACGGCAGGAAATTCCAAATAAGATTAAAAATATCAAGGTTACATTCCTTTTAGCCAAACTTTTTTCGGATTTGGACAATCCAGATGGTTTGGATTTTCGTGCTAACTGGAAAAAAAACCTGAAATAAGATTGATCCATACAGCAGCTGCCTGCCGCTCCGATCTTCTTCTCAATTTCAATGCATCGTTTTTTACTTCTTTCTGCTAAATTAAGCATCTTCTTGTGGAGAAACAGAGAGAAAATTAGTTCTTTAACTAGTGGTGGTTCATACTGGAACTCATCAACTTAGAATTATCTGGAATTTGATTCAAGAAAATTCAGAGGACAACTACGAATTCTAAAGCGCTGAGAAGCACGTTCTAAACACACACAGACATTGAACAGTATAGTTTTACAGTGAGAAAATCTAAGCGTTTTCACTTCCTAACAGATTTAGACTGACAGTGGAACTTGAGTTAAATATACTACAATCCTCTCGCGGCATAGAACAACGGGGGAATATAAATAACCTCTATCTGAACTAACCATGATCCACTGTGTTTACTGATGAACGAGTATGTTTTTGCGATCGAAAAGCAGTTTCATTAAATGGAACAAAGATATGAAACCAGATTGAGAAACCAATCTGAACAATCCACGCTCAGAGGTTGGTCCTTAATGGAACAAAAAATCAAACTTTCGATTGCAAAATCCGGATTTAGATTGGCTAAAAGGAATGCAACTCAAAAGAGGTACAATGTAGTTTGAAGTAGGCTTATAGGCTACCTACCTAATATTATACCAGTACTTACAGCACAAATAGTTAAATAAAAAACATCTAGACTTTAATCATGTTATTTTAAGTCTTGCTTTATTGTCAAGAAGTAACATACCCCAAATAACCAATACATGTACCAATACAGTATTAATACAATGAGTCATTCCAGTCACCTATAAATGCTTACCTCACCCTGAAAGGCATGTTGGAGACTACATAGTTCATACAACACCACACCCATAGACCTATGATGCAAAACTTAATGTAAGGTACAGTTTTTACTTGGTCGCCATTTGGTGACCATTCTTTAGGTTTAGGGAGACTTTTTTGCAAATCAAGTCACCAGCTTCAAAATTCTAGGCACCGTGGCGACTAAAATGGTCGCAAATTGGAGGGTTGTTACACATAAAATGAATTAATGAATAAACTATTATTAATAGGCTAATTCACATTCAGATGATACATGTAAGCTAGACACCTCCTGAACAGTTTTATCTATCTTAAGGGTAATAGCAGGATTAACATCCTACCAAAACCTAATTAGACATCATGAAGTACATGTTCATTCATACCAGATGTCAGACTTGTATTTATATCCTTCATGTTTTAAAACTTCAGGACTCATGTAGTATGGAGTACCAGTGAATGTAGTGGCAATATCTGATGTACCCATGAGAATCCTGGAGATACCCAGATCACCTGAGTAAAAAAATATGCTCATTACTGCTAAAGAACATACAAAAAAGTAAACTAACTGGAATTTAAGGGTTTTACCATGGTTAAATATGCAAAAAATTTCACTATTACTGGCTTTGAATTAATAAGTTTTGGCAAAAATCTAATCATGACAAAGCTCCAAAAAGATTTTTTTATCTGACTTAATGAGGTAAAGAGGCCTTTTGCATTAGTTGATCATGTGATCAACTTTCCGTAAACATGAAAACAGTTCACTTTTGAAAACTTTTGATAGCAGGAACTGAAAGAGTGTATGAAAATTAGGTCACCTGTAAATTTTCAGCTGTGTATCTCAAAAGTAGAGATTGCAACAGCTGCCCAAAATTAATTTTGCCACCCAGTCATGCTTAACTGGTTTTCCATACAAACCCTTGTTAAATTGGAAATTTTCAAACTGTCGTAAAATATTTCCTTAAGCCTTATAGCGCTAAAAATCTCCTTTTTATTCGTAACAGGCAATTTGTGTAGTTAAATGGGTAAGAGAAAGATTTAATGACAGTTTAAAAAATTGTGGAAGTTTACAAGGGTTTGTATGGTAAACCACACAAGACACTCAAGCGCGACTGGGTGGCAAGAGTAGTTTTTGTCATACAAATCCTTCTAATTTTCGTGACCATTGCAATCACTCCTTTTGAGTTATACAGTTGAAAATTCTTCATTTTAATATGCTCTTTCAGCTCGTACTAACAACATTTTCCAAAAGCAAACTGTTTTTATGTTTACAGAAAGTTGACCATGTGACTAACTATTGCCAAAGGCCTATTGGCCAGCTTAAGGAGATTAATATTAAAATGCTGAAGTTGTAAGACCTAGTCAGGTGTACAATAATTTATATAACAATCGTTCTCATGAAGGTCTAGGACTCAAACATCACCTTCAGACAGGACTGTTTAATATGTTTTAGAAACTTTTTATTCATCAGGACAGTTTGAAAAGGCATCTCTGGATTATTTGAAAATAATACATTTAAAAACCCAATTAAAACAAAAAATAAATTGATTAACAAAATTTTAACATTGTAGATTGATTGAGATGGATGCAAATAAAAATACATCAGGGGCGTAGTGTCCTTTATGCAAATATGCACATGTGTACTTGAGAAATCGGTAGGATTTTTTTTAAAAAGATTTTATGTGGATCCCCTAATACATTGCTTTTGAATAAAACAAAAAGGAAGGAGGACTGAGGAAATTCATGGAAACACATTTAAATCGATCTTGACTGATTATCATTCCTTTAAAGATTTATCTGGAAAGTTTTCCCATTCAAATTAAAGCTGTTCATTTTTACTTTTCTCTCTCTCTCTATAAATGTTGCTCAAGTGGGTAATCATTGAACAGACTACGCTGACCATAATCGAGGTATAAAGCTGAAGCAGACCATTAGGTGCAGCTGTGGTGCAGCATCAACAAGAATTTTGCCGGAAATTTGCACTCAACAGATGTAGAATCGTTTTCAATGAAAAGCATTAGAGATATTCACTGAAAATAAATAAATAAATAAATAAATAAATAAATACTAAAGCCCTGACTATAATTGTCTGTTCCATGATCAGTTTCATGATTGAAATAAAGGAAACACACAAAAGTCAGTAAAGGACTATACTTGCAGAAAATTTACACAACCACACACACGCCGAAATTCTTCCAACAATTGCTTTTAAACTCCAAATTTCTGCACTTCAAGTGGTCATTTTTCTTGAGCGACAGTAGGTGAGCTTGTTTCATTCCAAACATTTAGCAATTGAACAAACCATTTTATTTGAGTTTCTTGTAGGGGAGGTGCTTTGTGCTTGAAAACTTTCTGATTCCAGTACCAGCTCAAAGAAAAACATTTTAAAAGCTTTTTTTAATATCATGTTCTATTGTTAACAAGAATGTTATCTGCCAAAAGAAGTAACTATTAAAGGATAACAAAAACATTATTTTGTTTCAAATATGCATGGATCCGTGTGCGTACTTGCCAAAATGGCCATGCTTTGCCCCTGACATTAATTTGTAGCAAATATTCTGATGGCCCAAGGGAGAAGTTTTTTACAGACCATTATTTTTAATCTCCTGTAAAAGTTTTTTTTTTTAATGGTTAGCCTTCATTTTTACATTACTTCTCTTTTGACATATATATTTTTCTTGCTATACATTTTGTACTTTCATGCAATTATACATTTATTATGTTTCTTTCACACTAGAGGTGTTGAATGTAAAATCCAAGACTTGCTGAGATGTGAGGGCCCTTGCTTAAGACTTCAGGACTATGAGGCAGAAATAAAAATACAAACTCAAGTCTCATTGTATTGGTAGTAATACAATTTCAAGATCACTGTAAAATGTTCTTAGCTGACCCACAATCAATTATAGGCTCCAATTGCAACCCCTGCACACTCTACACCCTTTCTTCAGGGTGGGTGATAGGAAATACTCTCGCTATTACATAATAATTATGTTACAGGTCATACTTAAATTCAGCTTAGCCCTATTAAAGTATTCATGAATTAAGTCCAGGAGAGAAAGGAAACTAAGTTTAAAAAAAATTAAACCTATCAAATTGATATTACATGTCATTTAAGTTTGACCTGCAACATTATAAATGGAAACTTCATTATTTATAAAATCAAATAAAATAGAAGTTAAAAAATAAAGGCAGCTAAATAATTAAACAGATGCAATCAGCTTAAAGTAAAGCCCCTAAGTAACAGTGGACTTGTGGGAGATTATGGCCACTAAACTACTGCCAGGGTTTACGTAACAATAAATATAGATACAGGTAGAATGTAGCTAAGAATGAAATATTTGCTATGAGGTAAAATTGACAGTGAATTTTTAGCCTTGTGAGTTTTATATACTAAAGAATGTTTTTTTTTTCAGTCAATGACTCAGCTGACTTGGGTTTAATGTTACACGTCTTTGCTTATTGTTGTCAAAAAGGGAAAGAGTGGAGCTGAAGGAAGCTGTTATTTTTGTCCAACTGAAACAGGCATTTGGAAAAATTCAATGATAGAGATGCCTATACTAGTACTCAGAAAATTTATTGAATCAACAGATTCACTTAGCTATATAAAAACAACACAGCTAGATAAACCTCACAGTATCCCAACTCTTAGGTTAACATTGTACACCACATACCTAATTTTATGAAATTATTCTTTAAAAAAATGTTCCTGAAATATATAAATAAAACACTATTATTATTAAAATCATTAGCTTACTAAATAATTACACAAAAAATTAAAATTACAGTGCCATTGCAAGAGATGCTTAAAGTTTTGCAAGAAAAAAGAGCCAATTGGGCACGACAAACAAAACCACAAGCAACAACGTTAATTAGTTTGTGGTTTTGTGGTTATAGTTCATGTGTCCTGATCTTTGCTGTGATGAGTCGTAACAGAATAAACATTCCTGAAAGTATTTCAGGTGTTCATGGTTTTACTTGTTTGACTGTAAGGCCATAAATTCTTGGCCTTTTGTTGGACAAAATGGTAAGTCATTAAAAAGGTTCAGGCAGAGAAAAAGTGATCCAAGTAAAAGGAGACCCACACAGCTGTAGCCAGCTAACCCAGCCTTCTCAACATTAACAAGATGAAATTGTACCATGCATGCATAAGGATCAAAGGTATGCTTGTCCACTATAATTATTTTGAACTCATGCAATATACCTGAACTGATGGTTCCTGGTACATATTTAATATATACTGACAGGGTGAATTAGGGCATTTGTTGTCAAGGGAAGCAATCTTAAAAATTCTATATATCTCAGTGTTTTAATTCACCTATTTCAAATTCAGTCTATCTCAACCCCACATTCTCACTCCAAACCAAGCTGATCTCACTTGCCACTCCACGAACTCTTTGTAAAGGAAATCTACCACACATTTTTTGGTGATTTGAGGCAGATCAGTTCTACCCTTGCCTACTAGTAATATAAAGTAGTAAATATCACATTATCCACTCTCCTAAGGGCTTTTCGGGGATAATTTACAACATGGTTGGGGGACTTTGCCAGACTGCTTAAGGTGCAGTTTACAAGTAGTGAAGGAATGAGTAATGATGCCCCCATACATGAGTGTGAAAGTGAGATAGACCACTACACAGGGCACTACGTGCCCTACTTTTTACCAAGAATGTGTGGGTTCTTTAACGTTCCACAGATTTTTTATTACGTATGCAAGGGCTTGCACGACAGGCCTACGGTTTATCGACCTTATCCGAGAAGACTAGAAAGTCAAACTGTTTGCAGATGTTATTACAAAGGCAGCACTTTCTCCTCAGTTATTTAAAGACCCTGAGTGTTGGTCCGGCAGGGGTTTGAACCTACAGCCTCCCGCTCAGCAGACTGGCGCTTATCCCATTGAACTAACTGGGCGGCGGTTACTACTCTGAGAAACAGGTTTCAAAGAAATCAAGCACAGCGTCTACATCAAGCTTACCTTGTCTTTAAGTCTCTATGTAAGATTTTCCTGAAAACAAACAAACATCTACCTTTAAAGTACACTTCCAGTAGAGAATATACTTAATATCCTTCTTGCAGGGTCTAAGGTGTCATATTCTTTATACATGATTGTGTTATCTGTTTAACAGAAATTAATAGAAATCAACTACAGTGGAAGCTCTCTTAACAGACACTCTTGTCAGTGGACAGCTCTTCTTATGGCTGTCTTCACAAAACCCTGTTTCAACTCCAATACAAACTCTGTATTTTTACATTCCTGTAAGCAGACAATTATCAAAGGCATCTACAGACACTTTCAGGGTCTACCAGTTAGATTTTAGTTTGTTTTTACGTTCCTGTGAGCAGACACCTGAAATCTCATTCCCCTGTAAATCTTGTATTTTAATACATCAACTTCCTAAAATGGCTGTCTGTCAAAATAAATTTACCTCACTTTCAGAGTTGTTTTTTTCACATACAAGTCCGATTACAATTCAAAACACCACTTGAATTTTATGCTTGTAACTGAAAATTGCAACATAATGTCAGAACAACAGTATAGCCAAACACTTAACAAACATTTTTCTTGCATTTTCAATGTTTATTTGTAGTTGGACAAGCTCTTGGAAGCAGCCATTTATAACTTACACCTCTAGTGGTCACTTATGAGAGCCATTCTTGTAAGCGGCAAGCTCCAGCAATAGAAAAAGCTTATCACCCAATATTATTCAACAATAGTTGACACACGCATCTAAAAATTATATGCACTCTTATCAACAATTTCATTCGTTTATTATTTCATTCTTTTTCAACACCATGAATCCCCCCACCCACCCCTGAATCAATGTTGCTTGGAGTAAAAGGAAGAACTGAGGGTCTAAAATACAACAATGATTTTGGGGGGAGGGGGTGGGGGTACACAAGTGTAAAAAGGAGCCATAAATATAGAAGTGTCTCAACACTTATGTCCCTCATTGTAGCTGCCCAGCAAAGTGATTATGCCTGCAGGAACTGTGGGAATAAAGGACATTTTCAAATTTATTTCAGGACGCTAGAATAGTGCAAAGAAGTTTGACTTTAAGAAAAGAGTGGGTCAAGCAGAGGGATCTTAAAAAAGTACATGTAGCAAAAGCTAGCAATATGGCCAATGAACACTTCATGAAAAGAAAGCAATCAGCTGGCGGGTTTAGACAGAGTCCTAACTTTGCTTAATGGTAGAAAGTATCAGTTCTGCTTGCGAAAGTAACTTTATTCTTTGTGCATGAACTGACTAATAAAGATGGTGGCTACAAAGAGCCACAGGTCCACCAGCAGCAGGAAAGTGCTTGTAGGTTGACACATCAAGTTTGTTAACAATAAAAAGGTACTCACATAGTTTATTTATCTAGTAAGAAACTGATAGTGCAAATATACAATAAAAGCACAGCTGATGTAATCTTACTTTTCATGCATGAACTTAACAGCTAAAACCAATTGAATAAACCAAGCCAAAATCAGTGATTCATCAAAACTCTTGCCAGCTTTCTTCCAAGCCTTGATTTTGTCATCCAAATCACCACCCTTCAGTTTAGAACAGAAAAACAAACATTTTTAAGTAACCAGTATGTAAAAAATTACTAACGCCCTGTAAATGATAAGCTAAAATTAAGTTGAGTCATTAAAATGTGGTTACCGGTATTATACGTAAATTACATGCACGTATGCAAGGTAATAATTTTTATATTAAACTTTCTCTGGTGTAGGAGCAATTTCATGATGCCTCCAATAGCCAGACAGTGAACAGAAAACGGAATGTCTTAAGCCTCAAAACGTGTTTTTCAGCAAAATTTCCAAGCACCTAGTTTCCTGGAGAAAATCCAGATTTCAGAATAAAAAACAAAATCTGGTCATGAAATGCCAAATTATCAAGTGAAAAAATCAGCAAAAGAAGAATTTTAGCTGCTTTGATTAACCCTATTTGCCCCTGGACCACCACACCCTTATGAGGATCCATGGTTTTGAGTCACTTCTGAATTCATCAGTTTTAATGGTCAAGGACAACTTTGTCATCCAACTACAGGGGGAAGAAGTCTTTTAACATACCAGAATAAGCATGATTCAGTCAAAGAGGCTGGAGAAAAAAGGCAAAAAAAACCTTGTAAAGTTGACCCAAAAATTCCACCTACTCCTATGATCCTTCCTTTTCCTCGCTGAAATGAAGCTTAATAAATGCTCACGAAAGAAAAAAAAAGGGGCCACAAAGTCAAGACTTCTTTCTCTAAATTTTGCTTTCTGTGCATGCTTGAACTTGGGAAACTGATATTATGCACCTGGTTCACAGAAGGTCACTAGGTGATAGACCTATAAAAAGCATTTGGGCAGTTCCTGCTTCTTTATAGCCAGTCATTTTTCTGCAAAAAGTTATAGTGAGGGGTAATTCTTGAAAAAAAAAAGGGAAGAGAAAATCAAACAACCTCTCACAGTAGAGTTTGGTCGGTTTTAGCCAAACTAGAGAGGCAAAAATGCCACTTACCTCACAATACTCAGTAACTATACAAAATGATTCTCCATCAATGAAACTATCAAAGAACTTGACAATGTTAGGGTGATTTAGCTGAAAAAATACAGAGCATAAGTTGTTTAAAAATTGTTGCCAGATAAAGGTTTTGCAACAGACAATATCATTCTATACAGTGTACATGTAGATACTTGTATTTCAAATGAACTACTTGGCATTACAAAGAGGGTAAATTACCCACATAATTATTTGGAAGTTTTGGTTTGGAAAAAATAAAAACTTTATTGTTTACATTAACATTAATAAAATGACTGCAGTTATTAATAACAAAATTTATGCTAAGTTAACCATTTAAATTTTATTTTCCTTTGTTTCAAACTCATTATCATACATTGCTATATACAAAAACAAAAGAAAATAAAATTTAAACTTAGCATAAAATTGAACCACAACATATATGTACAAAGGATTGATGATCATAAGTCTTTCGCCAGGGTTGTTTATCCAGGAGGCTAGGTTACTGTGAGTATCAAGGAAACATGCCAGCCAGTTAATGCGCCATTCTCCATGGTTTTGCATGGCACATCTGAGATTGCTGCTGACTAAGAATGCACAGTGGTTGGATGCATAAGTTGTCCAAGATAACCTTGGTTTTGGATCAGATTTTGGTAGATTAAAATAGTTATTGTTTGCAAGCATTTTCTTTATATGGCAGTTCAGTGACTGAAGGTTGAAATTAGGGGGATGATCAAAAGTCTCAGTTCCATCGGCTGGTCACATACATAACATTTTTAAAAGTGTGTTTGGCTCATTAAAGTGATTACACAAGGATTTTAGAGAAAGACGCATCACCCATCAGAGGTAAAACACTATAAAAATAACACATACCGTGGACAACAACTTAGCTTCTCTCATTGCATCAACTGTTTCATCTGGTTGCAGTTCGCCAACAAAGATTTCCTTTAAAACTTTCCTAAATACAACAGCCCATAACAAGTTAACAATCATGTGAATGGTAAATATGTTCAAGGTTACCTAATTTCTACTATCAATGAAACTTGAGGAGAGATAAACTAACTCAATCTTCCTTAAAAATAACAAATTGTTACACAGTCATTTCTGATTTATGATGGCAAAAAAGTGAAATTTGCATTTTATAACATACAGAAAACATGATTGGTGAGGCAAAACATACAAGACAAAACCTTCCCTTAAGTCTTCCTTCAAAGTAACTTCTACCACTGTATAAATACATAAGAAAAGTTTTTGAATGTGAAAATCAAGAGGCCATGAAAGTGAGGTACAGCACACAAAGGTAAAAGCCTGTGGTCAATTTGACGTAATACCAGCCTTATTTGACCATGCATTTTTTTGTGATCCAATATGTCACATCACTTGTTTGTGATCAAAAGCTGATGATTGAGCCAAAGTTAAACAACAATAACAACGGCCGCGACCACACCTAGCAAGTTAACCAGGTTATTTTTAAAAATATATATATATATTTATATTTTTCAAAATGTACTCTTGGTTTAAACAAATTTAACTAGGTTAACTTTTACAAGCAGCCAGACTCAAATGTGTTTAAGGACAGTGCCCACTAATGGGAAGTATTTTTTCCCAGATAATGACTGTGTGAGACAAGTAGATCATATCAGCAGCTATTGAAATCCAAAAAGAATACTGGGGGTAACCACGCATTTTTCAGAGATAACTGCGCTTCAAAAACACTGAAGGGGCATTTTTGAAAAAAATGATAAAAAGTTATTTTTTCCCCAAATTTCAGAGTGTACACATGAACTGCCACAAGTGCAATGATAATTGTAACAAGGTTTCAAAATAAGCAACAAATGATAACATAACAACTGCTCTTTATACGTCTTTTTTTGAAATATCAGCACAACTGGAAAGTTATCAGCAGTTACCCCTCTCCACGCGTTTGCCTCAAAAATAGTGTAAACGACATTAAATTGATTGTTTGCTAAATAGGCTTATTACTTTCATTTGGTAACATAAAAGGTAGGGCTTACCGCGCGTTTTTAGAAGTTAAATTGGTTGGTTTCAACCTTAACTTAATCGCTTTGGGGGTTATTTACAATTTTCCCCATCCCCTCCCCAGTCAGTTTCACTATTGCTTCACTCAACACGAAGTACTCTGGGATATCCAAAATGGCTAACAGTCAGAGAAAACAACAACACACGGAGGAGAGCAAAAACAGAAAGTGAAGCAGGACATTTCATGGACTCTAAGGAAAACATTTCATTCAACTGAAGCTTCTCCGTCTCAAACATTTAACAAAGATTTTTGAAGAAGAGCAATCTCCAAGGTATTAAAGATTACTTGCAGCGCACATAGAGTAGTATGGCGAGCTCAAGATCCACGGCTGGTGTTGTAAACAAACTACTGTACTGTAGTGGCAAATAGTCGACAGGGACTCTAAGACAGGTATTCCTTCAATCGTTTGCTTACCTGTACATGTCCTCAAGATTTTTTGAACTGTAGATGTAACATGGATTGTAAACCTTCTACCGTTTTTTTATCATTTTACCGGGTACCTCGATCAAATATGTTATTAAACTTGCATACATTCAATGAGCTTATATCTGTGCTTTGGGCTATCTCTTTCGGGCTTTGCCACAAGTGTCATATGACATAAATGATTTGCATTGACTCAAGTTCCATACATGAGCTCTCTTTTAAAAAAGCTGAATAGTGTGAAAGTAGTTGTACAGAATGCGTCTTTGTACCCTTATATATGCACTGGGCTATAATGATCATTTTATGTATTTCGTTTTGATTTTTTTTACTGTAGCATTCTGGGTCATGATCATTCACTATTTTTCGTTTCTAAATGTTAATATTAGACTTAACGGTGTCTGTTAAACCTAAGAAAGTCTTAGAGTGGAAATACTTTATTTTACCTTCCATCTTTAGTTTGTAAAGAGCCAAATGGCAGCTATGTCTAAAATGTCCAGATGACGTGTGGCGTGAAATTGAACATTAAGAAATACTATCTACATGACAAGCTGCCAATAAGTCAATAATTTCAATGCTTAGTAATGCCAAAATGTTTAAATAACAATGATAATAGTAAACATAGGCACGTTAAACGTGCATGAGCTATTTTGAATGCTTCAGTATAACTATAATACTTCGGTGTAACCTTACCAAGAGTGATGAATCTACCTTTTTCATCCTAAATGTAGATTTGGTTTTTGTGCGAAATTGGGTATTGCGGTACATAAATGAAAACGCAAAACGCTCAGCTGAGTTGATCCTCAACCTATATATTCACTTTCCTCTGTCTTTCCCTGTTACACCTGGTGCAAGTTAAACAAACTGTTAAAGTAAAATAAATTTCTACTCACCAAACGTTGACTAGAAGGAAAACCCTAAGGTTTCCTCGGAGTCTCTCAAGCCAAAATGTGACACATCGAAGACTGAATAGTTACGAAATACCAGGATTTTTATCATTGAGGTAGATGGTTGCATCATCATAATTCACGAGGTTTTCACGTGCAATTCTACTCAGTGAAACAGTCTTTAACTCCGACAACTTATTTCTTCATGTTTTAAAAGCTATTGCTTCTTAAAAGACAAGAGCCTTTTTTAAGGCATTGGTTACAAAACGAAACAGGTCTTCATACGTCCAAGTTACCATTTATCATTGTGAAAAGCCAATCTGCATGAGATGTACTGTCACACAGCTGGCATGTGAAAGTGTTGGACTTTGCCCCCCTTCGTGGTTCGTACGTGAGGGAATTCGAGTTATCACACAGTAAACTAGTAAACAGAATTATAAAAATAACTCATGCACACAATTTGCATGTGAAGATGTTGGTCTTTGGCCCTTTTACAATTCGTACGCAAAAAAAAAAGCAAATTGTTTCCTACAAAATTTTCTCAAACGATTTTAAGAAATCACCTCGGCTTTATTACAACCTCTGCAATTAAATTATGTTTCATGCAACGTCAAGGTTGATAACCTAACATTTATCAACATTTGTGAAACAGTCTTTAACTCCGACAACTTATTTCTTCATGTTTTAAAAGCTACTGCTTCTTAAAAGACAAGAGCCTTTTTTAGGGCATTGGTTACTTAACGAGAAAAACACGTCTTCATACGTCCAAGTTACTATTATTATTGTGAAAAGCCAATCTGCATGAGATGTACAGTCACACAGCTGGCTTGGAAAGTGTTGGACTTTGCCCCCTTTCGTGGTTCGTATGTGAGGGAATTCGAGTTATCACACAGTAATCTAGCAAACAGAATTATAAAAATAACTCATGCAAACTCATGGCCCTTTTACAATTTGTATGTGAAAAAAAAAAGGCAAATTGTTTTACTACAAAATTTTCTCAAGCGATTTTAAGAAATCACCTCGGCTTTATTACAACCTCTGCAATTAAATTATGTTTCATACAACGTCAAGGTTGATAGCCTAACATTTATTAACTTCCAAGAAAATTATCAAACTGCCGAAATATATTTCTACTTGTATCATGTTACTCCAGTCAATACAACAGTATCTAATTATTATGTCAACTAGCTTCTTCCAATTTTATTCCCTAATGCTACTGTTTCTACTTAAGTTACGTATTATAGTTTCAGAAACTATAATACTTAGCATGCAGGAAGGATGTATCATGTTGTTCACTTATTATTCTTTTTATGTTGTTTTGCCAGAACGAAAAAGGTCTGTTGAACTTTGTAAGCGAGAGAATAATATTTTTAAAGCTTGTTTACAAGATTAACAATACTCGGTACAGCTTTCACAAAAATAAGCTGCCTTTTTAAACTTCTAAAACCACATTTTATAGGGCGCATACTTTCGAATTAAAGTCTATATCTAAATATCAATTATTGCTTCATTGGAAGAGCTTTGAAAATATATGATCTTTTATACTCTACCCAGTTGTAGCAGGTGAAACAGAACTCATACTGACGTGCGTTGTACCAATAGCCGAATTATGTCAGAAATGCCTTGAAGCAGCATCCATACTAAAATATGAACCCTTAAACAGCTGCATCACTGTACACAGCGTTTGAATCATGAAGATATTTAATGCAATTCTTCCAAACACCTGTAGCCGTAATAAAAGACAAAAAAATTGTGAAGAATCAAGATGGCAGTCTCAAAGTGCCCTTGTTCGACCTTTACCAATGCCATGTTTAAATAGATGCCAAGATCTCATTGGTTCCTAAGCATCAAGTCATAGTACCTTCAACCTTATTGGCTCTTGCAACAAACATCCCAACATACAAAGATACAAAGCCACAAAGATACATACATCACACCACTGACATATGAGCTGTTTTTTCAAAATAGCTCAAAAAGCATAAAAATGTTTTTTATTATTTTTTCCACAATGAAAGCGTTTCCTTTGCGGTCCGCAACTATTTGTGAAGCTGCGATCTCAGCAATCCAAACAATCTTGTGATAGTTTTTTTCTTGTTTGTTCAACAAATAAAAGCCGCCGACTCGCAATAAAAGGTACATCTGTAAGTACTCGAACACTTTAAATCTATCTTCTGGTGAATAATTACATAAAATCTTACAAAATTAAAGAAATATTCGGGAAAGTGTTTATAGCCGATTAGCCGATAAAACGCGAAGGAAACGAGTGAAAGGTAAGCTTGCAGTTTCTTGATTAAGCGGAGGACTTAGAGCTATTTTCCTTCTGATTTACTGATCCTTGCCTATTAAGGGATTTTTTAATACCCAAGCTCTAAGCGTAACATCTTGAGGCATTAACTTTTGATGTTTTAGAATTGACTTTTGTTTGACTATAAAATGTTCGGTCAGATCGATCATACATAGAAATAGCAACATGTGCATACTTCTTCGGTTTTCAAAGAACTGACAAGGTAAATAGAAATTATTTTTCATCTGTTGAAAAATGACGCATCTTTTCCACAAGAAATAACTCGAACCTCCCAGACTTCCAGGAGACAAAACCAATCAGCGTGTCCTGCGTGTTGCACATTTGTTTCGGGTTGCACTCGACTACCTTGGCATGCGCAGAAAATTTGCGCAGTGACAATAGTACGCACCGTCCTTAAAGGAAAAAACGCTGAAGTTGAGAATGACAGAACAAAGTATTTTTTTCAAAAATGTAGTGCTTACTATAAATATGATAAAGCTTAAATTTGGAAAATTGTCATGTAGAGGCAGGGATGATCAATTGATTGATAGTATTAACCTGCACTAAACTACCCTTTAGGTGGTTGAAATAAACCTAACCAAGTTATAAAAATCTATTATTCTTGCATGATTTGCATGACTGCTTAAAACTCATTTAAGACCCAAAATACATGGCTGCAATCACATTTTACTTAAATCAGTCAATTTAATAATTAATATTATAACTAGGAAATAACTCACTTGAGCCCCCTAGAGCAGCTGCAGCTGGAGAGAAAAAAATACCATAGGCTGCCACTTATAAACCCCTTCACTTACATGTATAAGTCCCCCCCCCCAAGTTATAGGCCCATCCAGCTGTAAACAAAAGTCTCCCCGGATATAAGCTCCCTTCTAGCTGGTATCAAAACGAATTTGATTTATTATGACGTTTATACCAGTAAGTGCAAAACGTATTTTGATAAGTACTGCTATGGCTTGTTTTAAAGCGCTTTTTTTGTTCTGGTTATAAACCTCCTTGGATATAGTCCCTCCATTTATGAGCCCTCCAAAGGACCCTCACTACCAGAGCTTATAAGCAGCAGTTTATGATATTCTATCAAGTGGGAATAGGACAATCACATGACTTTTGTCAGGCATATAATTTATTTGTGACTGAAGTAGCATCATTTACGCTCAAACGTTGTGGGGGTGCAAATGATGCTATGAGGGACACAAATAAACTACCGGGGTATATGCCTGACAAAAGTAATGTTATTATCATTATTATCAATACACAAGGCCAAATCGCACAAATTTATTTCATAAGGAAAGATTGTTTAACAGGAAATCATTTTGTAGGTTGCAAATTCCATTTACAGCCTGCTCTTTGCCATTTGGCCCGCAAAAGGAGCATTTTAGAGGGGGCACTTTGTTATTTGGCCACGTGTAGTGATAATAATGATACTTAACTCAGGCCAAAAATTTATATTGTGTACATTATTTAAATATAATTGGTGCATCTGATTGTAGGAGGTTTAACTTAATCAATAGCAAAGCCTCTAAACAACAACACAGTGACTGTCTCCCCGAGATTGTCTTGTGTGTTCAGATTTCTAATCAAGAAGCAAAACAGTCTGAACAACTTTTGACATTAAGCTACTCCAGCACAGGGTTCAATTGTCATAAAATTAAATTTCATATTTCTAGCACCTATAAAAAGAAACATCTATGGTAATACGAAAACAAAAGCCTATAAGTGCAGCATTTGCAGCTTTCCAAAGAAGGAATATCATAAGCCAGACAGATGCCTGGTGGCGAGTCCGGGAGGATGGGAATACTTGGAATAGACGCAGCCATAATTCACTCACTTTGCAGGATCAAATATTGCAGAACCTCTAACAGTAGTTGCCCTGGTCTACCAGAGGTAAGGAGATGCAGTTACACTACTTCACAGGGGGTGGGAGTTGTATCAAGGCTCGTGCCTAGCCGCTGGGAAGCCAACAAACCTTCGTTTGAAGGCAACAGCCTCGATCATGGATAACAACTCACCATTCGCCTTTACTCATCGTATCTTCCACCAGAAAAACGGTTCCAAAGCTGCCGCTACCAAGTCGTTTCTCTACCCGGTAACGATTTGCAAATACACGGCCAGTATGTTGACTTCTGGCCTTTCCACCGCGAGGAATCTTTGTTGGTAGCGGCATTGTTCCTCAATATGCAGTGTATAATGCAAGCTATTTAGGAAGAACTATGGACTGCACCTGAATGACGTTGCTATATAGAAGATTTCATTTTAAGTTTTTGGTCATTCACCGAATAGATGGCTCAAAACCAGTCAAATCCGTGCAGCGTTGTCTGATTTCTGGAGCGTCTTGTTGTGTATCGAGGTTTCCCCCAGGGCACAGGCACGACGGAGCACAAAAACCCTGGGAACGAGAGTTCTAGTAAGTTCTAGTATTGCATTATGGGATAAATTGAGGGATCGGCGAAAGGAAGGAAGGCAATATGTCGAAGCATTCTCAAACGCCTCGTAAATTAAAAATTGGGAGTGGATCAGTGGTTTGTCAGGAGGCTGAAATAAAAGGTGAGGTGACAATAGGTTCTCGGACAGTTATTCACCCTAAAGCACGAATTATAGCCGAAGCTGGACCGATAATAATTGGAGACAACAATCTGATCGAAGAACAAGCAACAATAATAAACTCGTATTATCTCGACGACGATGATGCACAACAAGGAGAAAAGATTGTCATGAGAATTGGAAACCATAACGTGTTTGAAGTCGGGAGTCAATGTGAAGCGGTGAAAGTGGGAGATAACAATATCCTTGAAGCAAAAAGTAAGATTGGCCGCTACACGGGTATTTCCCACGGTTGTGTTATAGGAGCCAAGTGCGAAGTTACTTCGCAAGAGACATTGCTCGAGAATACAGTCATCTATGGACAGAGCTGTAGTAGGAGAGTACAAGGGGAGAGACCAGTGCCACAAACACTGCAGCTTGATTTCCTTACCAAGATCTTACCCAATTATCATCACCTTAAGAAATCCAGTCGATCATAGACATGTGAGATGTGAATCAGTAAACTATTTATTTTAATTTTCTATACATTTCATGTAATAATCAGGGTCATTTGTTATGATACTATAGTCATAAATTTTCTGGCTCATGGGGCAAAGAAACAATGTGTGGGCAAAAAATTTGCCGAGGAATGTATGGGTGAAGGATTGGATGGGAATGAGGGGCCTCAAGTGCACTGCACCATGTTGAAGGGGTGCCTTATGCCTATGCTACAAGATGGGATTGGAGTCTGGCTTAGAGATTGCTTTGGACCCACTCTTATTTGTATTGTGGTGTCCACACAACCAACTGACAACTTGTACCAATAGTAGTAATATAGAAAGTGAATATTATCATGATTATGAATATTATTATGATTCTTACATATCTTTCAAAACAACAGTAAGAAAGTAAAATCTGTTGCGAGCAAGAAACTTGAATATTAAAATGTGCTGTTTTACATCTCCATTAGCCCTCCATGCAAATCTATATGTTCCTCTGGCTGAAAGGGACAATGCAGAGAGAAGGCTAAATCCCCTCAGCCATTTAGTTTGGGTTACATAGCTGCTTATGTATTCACTTGAATGATCCCTGCTTGATCTGTCCACCCCCATCCTGAATAGTCACCATGCTTAAGAATGTTTTTAACCCACCCCCACCCCCCACTCCCTAGAAGAAACACACCCTTAAGGGCAATCTAACACATTTTGATGTTCATTTTCCTTTAACATTTTGTTACCTTTGTTAAATTTGTTTTCTGCTATTATAAATATGGACTTCAACTTCAAGCTCAGTGTCCTGTTTTTGGCTTTCCAAATTATGACCAACTCTGATAATCTTTTTCAGGTGTTAAAACTTTCTCCTGCATTTCAGATATGTGGAATTGCATCATATTCACTTCTCAGGGGGACTACACAACCTCAGTGACCGTTGTGATGTTTGAATTTTAAACGGAAATGTATGGGAATAAAACAAAGTTTATATTATCATAATATATACTTTATTATATTCCCATACATTTCCTTTTTAAATCCAAACACAACGGTCACTCAGTTTGTGTGGGCTCCCTGTGATTCACTTTTGTTACTTTCATTTCAATGGCATAGTTACAGTCTCTAAAAAAAATGTAACCGAAAATGATAACTTTGTGGAGAAATTATTTATTTTAAAAAGAACAATATTACATGTGAACTTTTTCCCCAGTTGAAGGTAGCAAGTACCTTTGTCGTTGTTGTTAAAACAACCGTTAATGAGGGAAACTGACAAGTTAGAAACAGACTAGCCACTATTTAATTTGGTGAAAAAGGCACTTTGAGCATCACCATTCAAGATGGGCCCATCTTACCCGCTCGGGATTTCTTTTTTGCGCCTTAGTCCCGCTCTCAGAAAAAGCTCTGTCTTTGGCCTTAAATATATATCCTTTATTAAACAAGAAAAAACACATACCCCTGTTTTTTTTCTTTTTGTTTGTTTGTTTGTTTGTTAGTATGTTTATATAGAGATAATTTATTCAAGAGTCGTTCTCAAAAGAGTGCCCCCTTGAAGAGTAGCGAAATTTATTGAGCTCCGATCCTCGGGTATCTACTAGAGCATAGACGGGTCATGGTTAGTTATGGAGACAATAATGAGTATTGGACGCCACTCACAGATTGCATTTCCTTGAAGGTTTTGATTCACGTTTTCAGCCACATCTCAAGGCCTTGAACGCACGGAAAACAACGTCTGCGTTGGCAAGAAATAGGACAATTGCACGATGACGTCATTTTACTACAACTACCAGAATCCTTGAGCTTGTTGTTTTCTTGTGCAAATTAAGGCTATTGTTCTTTAATCCTCAGCGGGATTGACAAATTTAAATAACAAAGCAAAACCGGATTGAATTCTGGTAGTTGTAGTCAAATGTCGTCATCGTGCAATTGTCCTATTGAGGGCCTAACATAGCGTTGGCAGGATGCAGAATATTTTTTTTAGCTGCTGGCATAGAAGATGGTTAGGAGTGGGCGGGAAGGGGGAAGTTCGTCATTCTCATGGCGGGACGTGGGAATGCTTCAATTTTTTCGGTCTCTTATCCTGAAAATGGTGGCGTTCTGACGGAAAGATTGAAATGTTCAATGGTGATGGGCGGATTTGCAGGTAACTAACCGAATTGTGTCAAAGTGCAATATTCAACCAACTGATTTCTTTCTGCGGCGCGCAAAAAACTTAGGTTGCATTAAGATTTTCACAACCCTTAAAACATGGCCCGATTTCTTTCAGCTGTTTGTGCTCTTTTAGTTCTGCTTTTTCTATTCACGAAAAGTACGAAGAATTCAGTCATTGCAATCTAACAACAGATATTTTAAAGCTTAGTTGGTGACTGTTTCCATGTTTTGGAAGGGAATGTATCTTCCATCAGAAATATGGAGTGCGCTCTGTCACAACTTTGAATGGTCCTCATAGAACTGTTGCCGCAAAACCAATGGACTCGGTACAGCTGCTACGATGTGGATTGAAAAAACTCCAGGAAAACCTCGAAAAATTTTCCTCGGCTTGATGTGGAGGATCTACAAGTTTCTGTACATCATCGCAAGAGCCAGGTCGTTCAACATTGTGTTGAAATGTGCTCAAAAGTTTAGAAAACCCGAGGCTTAAAAGGAGCTAAAACGAACAACTTCCTGGTCGAGGCGTCGCCGGCTACTTTATAACGGTCACTCGGTCTCTTCACCTCTTCGATATCCCTCTGATGGAACAACCTCCTCTAAGTAGAGTAACTTAAGAAGAAATGATGATGACGGATGCGAGAGCGGGTTAAGGCGTATAGCGCCTCTGACCTCTGTACGACAGAGAAGCGTAACTCAATAAGGAAGAAACAATAGTTATATTTAGTAAACGGTAGGACCATCTGTAAGGTGCCAGTGAGTGAAAAGATCATACAGCTGATCATACAGATTCTTCCACGGCAGAACAAGTCACAACGGGACTCAAGCGTTAAAGAGGTCCTGTCCGTTGTCATTGGCTCTGCCGTGGAATAATCGGTATGACCTTTCAATCACCAGATGAACCTAACAGTATAGAGTAAGATGTACGACGCCAATTCGACAAAAGTGAAGAGAAAGAAGCGCCTGAAGAAAATCTTCCCGCAGCGCAGCAGAAAGCGAAAACCTGTTTCAGTCTTGTTTCCACTCAAAGCAGTCGAGACGTCGACTTTTTACTGATCCTAACGACAGGAAGAGTGATAGAAAAAATAAAAAAATAAAGAAACAGAACAAAAATAAAGTTTTGAATTATATTTGCCCGACATTTCGGTTTACAACACTAACCTTCAACAGGGGCTAGAAAAGAAAAATGAATACAAATACAGATATCGGGCAAATATAATTCACCGCTTTATTTTTGTTCTCTTTCTTCTTACTTTTTTTTCTCTATCACTCTTCCTGCCGTAGGAATCAGTTTAATTATACGCATCGGGAGCCCACCCTGTACGCATATTAAATTTTAAACTTTAATATGCGTATAATTTTTTGACCCGACTCATTGCTTTGTCCTCGATTGTGCAGGTTTCTGAACTGGTTGAAAAGTGCTGGTATTATAGTTAAGCTGTTTAAGATTATCTGCTTGAGACATACTGTATTTGTTTCGATTTCGTATCAGCAACAGTTGAGGGTTGTTATTATTAATAACAATTACTCCATCCGTAACATAGTTGGTTGGAAGGTCTTATGTATTACTGTAAACGACGGAATGACTGAATCTTGGGTGAACGGAAAAACAGTCAGGGATGCGTGACATTTATACTTAGGTAGCTGATGTGGTGATATTCCATATCACCAAACCTGGGCGATATAACCCCAGGAGTCGTTTGATCGAACATTCGCAACAACACTCCTGGGTTTCCTGTGGCCCAACATTTCAACTCCAGGCGGGCCACAGTATTTCTGAGTGTCAGAGTGCGTGGTGTGGCTCTATGCAGTGGAACTAACATCCAAAAAAAGCAGCGTGAGATGAAGTTGATTTTCCAACTAGGCACCGTTCAGCCGAAAGGACTGAATTTCATCTTGCGCGCCCAGGCGTACGCACTTCGATCATTTTTGTCTATGGCAATTGCGTAGTACAATGGTTTCCTCAGACTGAGGAAGGGTTATACACCCGAAAGGTCTGTTTTTTTTTCTTAATAAGAAAATTTGACACTTTTTGATATTTTTTATGGAATATAACCACATCGGCATGACTGAATCTTTTAAGCTTAGATACACGTAGACACTGTTTACTGATATGCTTGTTTGTTTTTTTTTGTTTGCTTCCTCAGAAAGAGAAATTTACCAAACTACACTTTCCATGAACAAAGACCGATTTGTATGCTAACCCTACCCCTAACCCGCGAAATCCGCGTCTCATCCGGAAAGCTTAAAATCCGACTTGGCATTTTGAAAGAGGGCGGGATGTTAGCCGGATGACGGGATAATAAATAAATAAATAAATAAATAAATAACTGATAGTGACGGAGAAGCGGGCCGTTTCGGAAAACCCTATTTTAGTCCCTCAAAGCATAAAACGGAACGTAGATTTCATTTCATTTCATTGCTTCCTTCAGTGATACATTGATTACGTTATTATAGACTCGTTACCATATGTTAATTGTGACGAGGGAGTCTATAGAAAAGCAAAAACATAGTTGAAATTATAGATCCCCTTAAAACTGAGGTCAACTGTAACTTAGCTAAATTATCATCATTCTACTGACAGTAGAGTAACATGCGATCAGGCGATTTTTTTTCTTTCTTTTTTTTTTTGCGGGGAAAAAAATACAAAAAAAAATCGCCTGATCCCAGGTTTTATAATTTCTCATCTTCTGTAATTATTATTCTAATTCTCATGAAAATAATCAACGAAGGAATGAAATTAAACATTATTTTAAAATTAAATACGCTTTTTAACTTTTACCTGGTTTTTGACACGTTTTTATCTCATTCTTAAAAACGGTCCAGTCAAATGTTTCTAACAAGAAATGGAAAAAAGAGCGAATTATCCGATAAGGATCTAAAGACGTGTTGGCCTGAGACAAGTTTTATAGATCTCGGGCCGGCAATACTTCCATTGACGCGTGGACAATTAATTTTGGCTTGATTTTGAACGTTAGTTCTTTGATACTAACCACCATTCTTACGCGTACCTGAAACGGCACAAATAATTTATTCGCCGATTTTTGTGACATCCCTAGACTGCTCTTAATTAACGAACAATCATTTCTTCAGTGTGGGTTGTTTAAAAACCAGCGACGGCGACACCCAGGAAAATTTCAATGATAAAACCACTTAGGTTTAAAATATCTAACGAGATTTAATTGTGCAGAGGGTTTTAATTCATACATGTGGTAGAAGTTGGCGATGAATTGGATCAGAAGAGTGGATACTCTTTTTGGCGATTGGTGTGGCCAAAAAACTGACATAAAATCAAGGAGCACTCACTGTGGACTCGCAATAAACGAGGCCACGTGGGTCGTCGGGACTGGACAAAGACGACAAAGCTTTCGAACCCCTCTTCCAACATCACATGTTGCGTAGGTAAAGCAATAGAAAGTCAGTCTTATTGCTTCAAGAATAAATAAAGAAAAGACTTTATTTCTTCTTTCTGGAGCTGGGGCTAAAAATGCATTTGGTAATAAACTAACTTAAAGTGGAAGAAATGAAGTAACTTTTAGAGCCAAGAAGTTTTGCTCTTTGGGAAGTTTTTGATAGTTTTTCTAGACATTTTCCACATAAATGCCAACGCATGTAGTAAAGTTTTGCTGGGTTTGAAGTCGTTGGTATGTTCTCCAATCTTTATTTAAGTATCAGAACAATAAGCAATATGTACAATTTTAAAGTATATCGTATTGTTTACAAATCAAAAGCTAAATATATGTCCACGATAGAAAACTATTTACAATTGTGAATAATTTAAAAGTGAGAAAAGGAAAATCAAGCATTACTAAGAAAAAAACTATCAAAAATCTAGGCCTAAAATTATGAGCGCAGATGTGGACCAGCTACAGCGAAAGTGAAGTCTTCTGAGACTTGGTTTGTTCTTCATAGAAAGAATACTGAATCAGCGGCGAGTGAGCAAGATGTTAGTCGGTTTCAAAAAAAAACTCTCCACGCGTTCCCTCTGTATAACTTTAATAAGGTATGTAGTCCTATTCGGGTTGTTGGGCCGGGTGTAGTATTGTTTTCGCGAGTCAGTGTACGCTTCATGTTCCCAAATGTGTTATTGAATTTATGAATCAAATGAGCTCTTCATCAAAAATACAAGCATTGCAGCCATTTTGGTGCTCAAGAGATAGCGATAATGATGGTGTACGTATGCGTATAAACTATTAAGCCATAACACATCACAGCAGGAGCGCGCGCGGGCGCCAGGCAGACAATGCGTGTGGGCGACAAAATATTTCGGAAATGCGACAAATATTCAACGAGGTGCGGCCATGTTGGTTTACGTCATCATCTTCGTGGCGGATTCACTTGACGTCCTCTTTCGAGTTCAGTGTTGGAATTTGACACAACAGTGGGACGTTGAAGATTTAGAATCTTCAGTTTACTTGGGGGCTGAATTACATTCCAGGAAAAAGGTGATTCATTTGTCAACTACATTTAACTGATTACTTTTATTTGAATGGCTCGCCTCGGGCTTGGGCGGGCGCATGAAGGCCCATAAACAATTGACCGCAACGACCCCAGTAACAACCTACAAGCTAATATTCACGATTTTCTGTTTTACATACAGACTATTCGGCAAATAATAAAGCTGCAGAGTAATTCTGTGTTTTACAGTCCGCCTGATATTAAATGTTTGTTAATATCTGTCTTAGTGCACATGGCTTCATTGACTTCATTTTGCGAGATGCTGGAATGCAGTACAAGTAACAAGAGCTCAAGTATCTTTTGATTTGCGTGGTTTTCGACGAAATACTCAGGCATGTCCGCCCCGGTAAGGAACTACAATTAGTGTTAATGTCTGGTTGACGAAGTTACTTCCAAATGTGTGTTACTACAAGCAAATTCTAGATTATAGAGGTGCACGCAGCGCAGGTAGACGAAATCGGCGCTTAGCTTATTTGAACCTAAGATTATCAGCAAGGTAGTGAGTTAGGCGAAGTAATAGGAAATCATCATGGTAGCAGGAACAAATTTAACTAAGCAGGTGAGTGTTGTGTATGTCTTTTACCACGCTAACTTTACAATTTTTCTTTTAAAGTTTAACAAAATTCCATTCTCTTACAAGCATTTGTTTATATTTGTGAGCCTAGTTTACAAGTGTTCATGTTACTCTATTCTTGTCATTCATGAGAGTTTTATGGAATTTGAAAAATGGCTACTTGGTTTAATATAAACTTTTGCTAAATTGCAGAAACTAAACTTTTGATCCATCGCCGTTTCAATATTTATGCTCGTGTACAAAGAGAATGTTTACAGCCATTTTGAAAATTTTATATGTATTGAGAAACACTTGAATGTGTCGTCAGGAGTTTTGAGAAGATTTGAATGCTTTCTATATCAACAAGGGGCTCTTCAAATATGTTATTATTTCACTGTCTTACTATGAAATTGTGTTGTACTTGTCTATAATAAATACAATATTTTTATGGTTAACGTAGTAATCAACTTTTATTAACAATCTTTTGTTACATGTACTTACTTTTAAACATGTTTTGATACATTTTTGGTGATACCGTTTATTGTATATACCTCCTTCAGACTGTTTTCGCGTTTTAATTAGCTTATTGTTTTTGTTGTCACGGTTTTTACTACTTTTTGTAATAATTAGCCCTAACTGATGTTAGGAAACATTGGACCCTTGGAAAAAGCTTTATCAGATTCATGAAATTTCCAAGTGACCAAGTCCATTGTTGAGTTAGACCAGAAACAAGAGAAGTGCTGAGATAAGCATAGTGTTTTGATAAAATTCATTGGCCATTTTTCGTCTCAGCAGTGCACAAAGAATATTATTACTTCATAGTTTCTGCATGTACCTTATGGAGACACAAAGATATCTTCCATTCAAAAGTATTAATAAAAAAGAAGTCTACAACTCTCTCAGGGATATAAAAATCCATTGAGGAGCGCATTCAGCAGTTTTATAAACCTACAGTCTCAGTCAAAATGGTTGGGACACTTTGGGGTCTCCTTGTCCCCCCAATGTTGGTGTACAAGATTTGGTGACCAAACCGCGATAAACAACTTTGAGAGGGACGAGGGGAGCACGAGAAGGGAAAAAGCAGCGTTTGGTTAAAGTGTCCCAACTATTTTTGTCTGAGACTGTGTCAGGGAGGAATTTGAAGGCGTGTTGACAGATACAGAGGTTAATCTGTAGGTCGGTCACAAGCGACGGGCTTTTGGTTTGTTGGGTATCCATTGTGTTTCGCGAACGTTTCTATAGCAGTGGACTAAGTTATTTGGGCATAACAACATAACACAAAGAATGACCAGTTCGCAGAAATTTCTTGGGCAGAGTAGAGTATTGTAAAATAAAAGGAACTGAGTGTGCACTAAACCGTACACAAATAGCTTTCTAGTGGCCGATTGATAGCGTGACAATATAGCACGTGCATACTATCTACGTAACATTCAGGGTTTTCATATACAGAGAGGCGCTCGAATGTGCCACATTTCTTAAAAAAAATGTGTGGAGAATAATAGAGAAGGCCTCTTTGCCAAGAAAGAGTGTAGGAACAAGGCTCAAAGGGACGCATTTCTAACTTAAGGGCAAGAGGCGAAAGACAGCTGAAAGAGCGATTAAGCGATTTCGAGAGAAAGGGGGAAACTTTTCCTCAGTTTGGAGGAAAATGCAACAAGCCAGGATTATTCCCAAGACCTATCAGCGAGAACAGTATCCCGCTTTCTAAATTTCTAAAGATACTATTGACTACAAGCGCGTAAAAAGGGTGTCCAACAATAGTGTAACTGTTTGGTCCGACGCCAAAAAGTTTCTTAATGATATTCCAGGCTACTGCTGTGAAATCGACAACTTTTTATAAGTTGTTTACAACATATGTTAATTTGGCCTTGCGCCAAATGGTGACATCGGTTCTCATTCTTTACCCCAAATATACACCTTCCTGAATAACTCTAAAACAAACTACTGTGCCATAAATGTGGGACATGAGGTACAAAACATGAATCATATAAAACGAGGACACTACCTATCCTTGAAACCTCCAAAAAAGCGTTCTACTCGACGTGTACACGGGTCACCGTACATTAATTCAATTAAGATATTTATAAGTTTCTTTCAGCGAACAATCGTGTCACCATGATCAAAGTTTTAATAACTTGTCTTACATGTATCAAGGCGATATAAACCTTGGCTATTTCAATTAAGTATGAAAGTACCTTATCCTTTTCTTTCTTAATCCATTATATATACAAGAGAGCTCTTAGAAAACGCCCTGGATAGTATGGTGACCCGTTATGGTGACCCGTCCAATCGTGTCTCCACTGGTACAAGATATTCGCGGCAAGATACACAGCCTGCGAAATAATGCGCGCAGTTTTGACTCATCCGTTGTTCACTCTTTAACCCTAATACCTAGAAAGCTTTTTTAATACCGTGGAATGTTGTAATTAAAGAAACAAAGACTTCTTTCCTCTATTAATTGTCTTCTCTCTTTCTATCCTTGAAATCTTTAATGTTTTTCCCGAAAAAATGGCTCCGAAACGTGCATATACCTACCTAGTGATTTCCCGCCACTAGAGCCAACGAGGAGTCACATAACTAAAATTCCTCAAAAACACAGTCTCAGTCAAAATGGTTGGGACACTTTGGGGTCTCCTTGTCCCCCCAATGTTGGTGTACAAGATTTGGTGACCAAACCGCGATAAACAACTTTGAGAGGGATGAGGGGAGCACGAGAAGGGAAAAAGCAGCGTTTGGTTAAAGTGTCCCAACTATTTTTGTCTGAGACTGTAGGTGCATTGTCTAGTGATACACTGCGGGCTGGACAGGAGTTGTCATCTATGATAAGCTCTTGCAGTTCAATACATCACACAATCAAATGTTAATCAAATTCAAGATTTTCAAAACAAAAACTACTGGAGACAAGGGATACGGGAGAGAGGTCCGTTTTTAAAGAGAACTTAGAAAATCTTCTGTTTTGAGTTAGTAAAAGTAAGGTTATACCAGGTATGGTAAAATTGGCAAAATTAATGCCCTTCCAGGACAGTTAAACTATCCAAGGTGAGGTTTCTTGGAAAGGGTGACATGAAGTGTCCTGTATTTTATAAGAGTAAAAGAAACGAAGGATACTCAAAAGTTATGTTGTAAATTTTTATAGTGAAATAAGTTCCAGCCAATAAGAGCAATGAACACATAAGAAATATCCAATCATTTGACATGAAATTTGTATGTGTAATTAAATGGTGACAAGTGAAATTAGGGAATATCAGCAATCTTACATGTGTTTTGTCCAAATCCTGATAATGGCGAGGGAAATTATTGAGATTCTGACAAAACGCAATTGAAATTATTCCCTAATTTCACGAATATCCCATTTAATTACCTACCAATATCATGGGTGACTAATTACACTCACAATCGTAGGATTTTGACGTTGCCATGAAATTGATTCTGGATTGAGAACTCCACGCAGTGAACACTTTCAAGCTTAAATTGTAGCTTAAGTTCATAAATTTTCAGATTTTTTTGACAAAATACATGAAAGAATCCTTCTGGATGCGCTCTTTCGTGTGTTTAGGGTCTTTTAATGTCCTGATATCTTCATAATATTTTAAAACTTTGCCGCCATCTTGGCACTAAAACGACAGAAGGTTGCCATAGCAATTTTGTAATTTCAGGTGTGAAATTACAAATTAGTATAGGTAATAGCATGATTTGTAGTGATATTTGGCCTAAATACCACAAGTGATATTTCGAAATTGTTATACGTAATTTCATGAGCCGATAGGCGAGTGAAATTTGAGACAATTTTGAAATATCACGAGTGGTATTTATGCCAAATATCACGTACAAATCATGCCATTATTTGTTTATACTACTACGCGCAAAGGGTTTGTAATTTTCACATGTAAGTATTTCAAATTAAGCTGAAATACCACTGCTCTAAGCCAATCAAATTGCAGAATTTTTTCATGTAGTGGTATAAACACTGAAATTTTGGGCCAGTTATCACCCATGATTTTAAGACTTTTATTCTTATTTATTTATTTATTTATTTATTTAATCGCTCTTACCATGATTACAATACTAAAAAACACTAGGGGAAAAAAATACTTATGAACAAGACACAAAAATGAAGGACGAAGGTACAGGACACATAACAGAGCGAGGCTCCAAATTAAGTGTGCTCTTATTCTCTGTGTTGTGTGGAATTTGCCCCATGACAATTGTACCAAATGCCCTAGCTTTGGTCATTTTAAAATCTTTTGCAGGGAAGTTGTCTGAATGAAGGATAGTGTTTCTCATTAAAATAGTGCCTGTTAATAGAATAGAATGGCTTTGTTAATCTCAAATGTTACAAAAATGTTATTACTCTTAACTGGCAGCCATCTTTATATTAAATGTACTGAGGAGATAGGCCTTGGGGTTTTTAGTGGTGGGGAAGGGTGGCAAGAACAATAGGGAGGCCGTCCTTACGTTGCTGGGAAATCAAAGGGAGACATCAATGTTATTTTTTAGGAGTGCTTTCCTTTGTCTGTTATTTGACATCGTCAGGTAAAATGATAAGTGGAAAGCTGTCAATATTGATGGAGAAGTCATTCATGTTACCCTGCAGTTCAGTAACTGAGGCTGCCTCATTGTATTCAGTGGACAGCATCTCATGTGTCACTGTTTCCCTAACTTCTGGGTCATGTTTGGCCATAAAAATGCATGGAAGGAGCCCCCCTAACCCACCCTTTCCAGTTGGTAGCTCTTCTCCAGGTTTTGCTTATGTTTGAAACCAAGGTAGCTGCCTTTTACAGTAAACCCAAAGATCTTACAGACAAATAGAGGACTGTTAACAGACTAATGACCTATGTGACAACAAAAAAAACCCAGCTATTTTATTCAAACTGGTAGCAATTTTTCTTACATTTTTACCTGTGTATTCTGCAAAAGGCCATTTACAATAATATTATTATATTATTCCTGTCTCACCTGGATTCAAAATTTGTAGTAATATTTGTTGCCACCCAGTAATAATTTTTCAAAGAGTGTGGTGTTTTTCTTATTACCAGTAGTTAGTGTACACCAGCAAGTTGCATTATATGAGTTAGCTTAACTTGGAAATAATAAAAGATTATGCCAGAATGATGCATTCCTTTCAGTTAGTGCATTGTATGTAATAATCATAATATAATGTGGGAGCCCTGAGTATGGTGTCATGCACTCATCAAGTCAGCAACACGTGTAGCTACTGTACATAAACACTATTTACAAAAAAGGGCTAACAAACAGTGTCGATTGGGCAAGCAGCTCTCACATTTCGCTTGCCCAGGGCCATTTCTTGCTCATCTTAGATAATGATTTTATTAGAGGATGACTTACCTTGGGCCCATTTCTTGAAAGTCCCGGTAACTTTTCGGGCCCAAAATCATATTTTCAAATCGAAATATAGAGAATAAGAGCACAGGTCCTGGATAACAAACTGCTTCATTTTGTTTCATTAACTGATAGTTTCATCACGTTAGATGCAAAACTATTGAAACCTCTATCTTGCATGTAAACAACAACTGCTTTACGTGCCCATTAATTATCGGGTCTTTCAAGAAACGGGCCCCTGGGCCCTGGTCCATTGAACAAGTGAGCTTTAAAAGTTACCTGCCCAGCAAGAAAATCTACTTGTCCCAGACTACTGGACAGGACTTTTTTTGAGTGCTGATGAAGTGGACCTTAAGGTTGAATTCTAGAACCTTTTTCCTTTGGCTATAAAAGTAATAGTAAAAGATGTAACAGCATCTCAAGTGGCCCTGTCACCATCACCCTCTTGTCCTACCACTTAATCTACAAAGATGTAGTAATCTGGAACTATTGTAAAGATTTTCAAAAATTATATTTGTGACTAGCTAGTAAAAAGTGTCACAATAAAAAAAATGATGTAGGGGCTGAAGAACCCTTTGTGGGACCCTCCAGACAGACAGTTCTTTACTGGTGTAGAAGTGAGTTGATTAATTTGTTCTCTGTCAGTTGAGTTATGTTTTTTTTTTCCTTAGGCTATTCTTGCCAAAGCGTTGTTTGACAATCTTGCTGATGCTCCTGATGAATTAAGCTTCAGAAAAGGAGATATTATCACTGTGCTTGAGCAAGATGTGGATGGTCTGATTGGCTGGTGGCTTTGCTCCTTGCATGGCAGGCAAGGTATTGCCCCAGGAAATCGCATGCAGCAGATTAAGAGAAGAGTAGATGAACACACCTCACCTGAACCAACAGTATCAAGTGAGGTTTTCACCTTTGAAGATATTGATTATGATGTTCCCAGGTCCCAGGAAGGACAAGATTATGCAGTACCAAGAGGTATTAGGAGTCCTGACTATGATGTCCCAAATGCTGATAGCCAAGAGAGCAATTTTGCTAATGGTACTTCACCAGCTTTTGACCTCAGTAGTAAGCAACATGAAACTGAAAATATTGTTGACAACTATACTGCTACTGCTGAAGTGTATGATGTACCTTCTGCATTTCTTGAAGATGATATCCAGGGAGATATTTATGACACTCCATCAAAGTCAGCTGATCAGGAACCACAAAATCCTACTGTTCTCCCTAAAGTATTCCCTAGTCCTTTTCAAGAAAATTGGAGGGGAGAAAATGACAAGAAACAACAATCAGTCATCTGTAATGAACCTGACCTGTACTCTGAAATCTATGATGTTCCTGTCATATCTGGTGATGGGGATAAAATTGATGGTATTGACAAAATAACAGAAGGAGTGAATGTGTCACTTGATGTTAATAAAAATCCTGCACGTTTGTCCGGTAATAGTAGTGATGGTAAACGTCAGTCATCTAGCAGCACAGATAGTGTAAAGTTGAGTTCAGAGGATGATGACTATGTCGACTATCAAGACATTTATGGAGATGGACGTGAGCAAGAGGTCAATGTGTACGATGTTCCAGTTCTGGTAGGTCTCAATACCTGGGACTCCAGCACATAAGCCACACCTTTTTGTGCTTAAATTTTGCTCAAACTTTAGGTTGTGGCTTATCTGTGAGGATATCTTATGCCAAAGTCTGATCGTTACAAAAACAAAACCCAAGTCAGTCCTCAAGGACAAAAATACCATGCTATCTTCAACAAGTTGCATGGTAAATGGCAAATTGTTTCTCTGCTATTCAGGAAATCCCTTTTTAGATGATTTTGTTGTCAATAGAGTTTTTCCAATTTTCCCTACAAATTTTGTTTCCTAGGAGTTTAGAAAATCAGTATGAGATGATCCACTTTCTTTTAGGCTTGTAGAATTTTGATTGTTTTGATGAGAGGCCATTGTTCAAGCAGAGAAAAAGGTCAAATTTCGCAAGGTTTTCAGGGACAAATTTGTGCAAAAAATGGCCGATTTTGTGGGATTTTTACGGAAATTTTCAGGGTAAATTTGGGTGAGAAAACATCAATAAAATATGGCCAATTTCGAGGATATTTTCTGGGCAAATTTTGCTAATAATCGGTCCGTTTTGCGACAATCTGACCATCGTTTTTAACATTTTTGTAACCAGGATAATCATTCGTTTTTTTCAACCACAATACCATCAAGAAACGAGCCAATGGAAAAGTTTTTTGTGCCATGGCTAATGCCCCGTTTTTAGCAACATAATCTACGCCTGGTAGTTTGGAGATATTGTTGGCTCGCTTCTGTGATGAAGTTTTAACATAAATTTGTGAGTTTACAGCAAGTAAACAGCCCCAATAGCTGAGATAAGTTTCAAGTATGTCGTACAGACATGTATTTGATCTAATTTGTTGTGAATTTTGTGGTATTTTGTGTGTTTCTGTGAATTTCGTGGACTTACCTCAATTTCGCAGCTCCTTGACCGCGTGAAATATCAGAAACCCTGTTTGAGGGTAATGGGTGGAAGGTGGGATGCTGTGTTAAAAATGTGACCACTTCTTAATGTAATTCATAATAGTGGCAAATGATATCGCTTGCCCCAATATTTTATTTGAAAGGAATTTGGTGTAAAAAGGTGCAGGCATGTTCTCTGGAATCAAGTGACAAAAGAATGTCAGGGTTACTTCTGTTATCAAAGAAAACAGGTTGTAAAAATGAATTGGCTTAAATGTTTTTAGTTAATGCAGTGCTTTCTGTTTATTTTTTAGCCAATTTCACTTCAGGATGAGGGTCAAAGTTTCAATGGAGGTCCTACCCCAAAACGAACCCAAATAAGTATCTTACAGCGTATTAACATGTCTGCTGTCAAAGAATTAAAGTTGGATCCATCGGCAGCACTGCAGCGCCTTACAAAACTAGAACAAGCTGTAAATGTAACAGTTAGTAAGCTGTTAAGCTTTGTTACAACTTCTTGGAGGAATCCAAATATTCTGAAACCTCTCCTAGCTGACATCAGAGATATTGCAGGTAAAGCAAAAGTAGCCTTAAGATTATTGACGGAATTTGGCCTTAGTTCCCTTGTCAATGCAAGAAAACTTACAAGCCAAGAACTAAGTGGGAGACTTAGCAGAGCAATAGAGCCTTTACTAGAAACATATTACTCAGTAAAATTGGCTTTGCAAAGGCTTGATGGGCAAGACTGGAGGTTGCCTTTAGATAAAACTGACAACACTCATGATGATCTGGATCTGATCATGGTTCACATTCGGCCTGTTCCTGAGAATACACAAGCCTTGGCAGCAATCGTACGTTCTGCAGCCATGACACTGTATAATTTGCCAGCCAAGGGGAGCAGAGACAACCAAGCCACTAAGAAATCAGAGGTTTTGATTAACTCTGAGGAGTCCAAGACACACACACCAAAGAAAGAGAATATAAGTGGCCCTGAGAAGAGCAGTGAGAACTCAAATGAAGAGAAACAATTTACACTGATTAAATCTGTGGTAAAAGATGTCGTTGATACAAATTTCAAGCCCACATCAAATGGTGGGAAGTGGAGCCCCACAACTGTGCGCCGTGTTTGTGGAATGGACACACCTAAAAGGGATAGTGCTGGTTGGTCTGATGAAAATGTGGCACCAAACCTACCATTACGTTTGCAAACCAGTAAAGAAAAATTGAAAAGTTCCAGCTCTGAAGATGAAGTAAAATCTTCACCACCACCTCCTCCTGAAAGAAGGGATAGCAGTGAAAAGTGTCAACACCTGAGGCAAAAAAGTATAGAGAAGTTTCCTTTTGATACTACAGGAGGACCTCCCCCAAAGCCAAAATTAGATAGAAAAAACACAACAAGAAAAAGCTACAAAATTCCTTTGTTTACTGATCATAATCGGGATAATGAAAACATTTTACGCAGAGAGCATAATGAATCTGAGTCAGAGCCAACAGGAACTAGACGAAAGTGCAATTCTGATCCAACACAGTTACTTGAACAGAATAAGGAGGTTGCAGAAGGAAGAAGAATGACACTGTCTTCAGACAGAAACAAGGTTGTTTCTTTGATGAAACAGACAACAGTTCATGTTTCTGATTCTGATTTGCCGCAAAGCTTAAGACAATCAAAGAGTGCGCACTCATTTACATCACAATTTGGAGAAAAGGTCAGTTCTGGATTTCCCAAGTTTGATGCACTACAGCATCGCCCTCTTTCAGACCTGATAAAAGGTGATGGTACCTCAAATGGAGTTATGGTGTCTTTGAATGATCGTGAACTTCTAGAGTTTTATAAATATGAGATTGATGCACAGCTTTTTGTGCTTAGTGAGGCTGTAAAAAGTTTTTTTGCCGTGGTGGAAAAAGCAGAAAGTCCAAAGGTGTTTGTTTCCAACAGCAAGTTTATTGTGTTGAGTGCCCATAAATTTGTGTACATTGGTGACACTCTTGGCAAGAGAATCAAGCATAGCGAGTTGAGAGGTCATGTGATGAGTGTTACTAACAAACTATCTAACTGTATCAAGATTTTAGTAAGTGCAACAAAGTCTGCGGCATTGCAGTATCCTGCATCAAATGCCATCAAAGAAATGAGTGATGCTGTTGTTGTGGTGAATGATGTTGCTGTTGAGCTGTACCAGATAGTAAAGAAAACTACAAAGGCCTAATAATATTATGATGTGATAGATCCCGAGGTCAGTATTACATCCCATCAGCCTAAACCCCTTGGTCTTCTTATAAAGTTTACACAACATAGTATTCTTTTTTGCTTCCACTCTACACTTAGTTGAAATTTCTAAGTCTCTTGAAAATTCTGCCCAGCAAATGTTCATGAAAGTTTATAAGTTTCTTAAATTTTTAAGGGAAAAAAATTCAGAAGAGGGTGAGGAGAAATCAAACTTGGAGTGTAGAGTCTCTGTTCCATCACCTATACCACGAGGCCACTGAGGATTTGCTGGCTAGTGATGGTTTGATTCAAACCTATATAGCCATAACCCTTACCCTAAATAGAAGCTAACACTATTTTCAGGGCTTAACCCTAATCACCATAGTCAGTGCTTAATCCTAATTGCTATTTCCAGTGCTTAACCCTTATCAGTGTTTCTTAACCCTGATTACTATAGTCAGTGCTGGAAACCAAAATGATAAGGAATACTACGCTGTGTAAACTTCATGAGATGTCTGAGGGGGTTAAGGCTGAGGGGATCTAATTCTAACCAGATCCAGAAGACAACAGTCATAGCAGTTGTTAACAAAATGGTAGCTTTTGCAGTCCAAGCTGTTATGCTTCACTCAGGTGAACAACTTTATGTGTTTAAACATCATTTTGTTCACAATTTAAAGGGAAGCAGTATGATCCCATTCATTAGTGATTTTACACATTAATTATTTCTAAAAAACAGATAGGCATTTTCAAGTCTGTGAATAATGCTGCCTCCCCTGAATGCTCTCTGCTGCTTGGGACATTTCACGTTATGTCCCTAGCAGCAAAAAGTGATGAGAGGTGGCTGCATGATTGCAGGCTAGTTATTAGGAATTGCCACATTTAGGAGTAAGTTGGGCAGACCAAAGAAGTAGAATAAATTAATCATAAATTAAGGAATAATATGACACATTTCAAATATTTATTGAAATGCTGTCTTGAATGTCCAGGCACAATATTATTAACACTTCTTCTCGTTACTAAACACTGTGCAAGCTAGACTGGTGTGTCTGGGCTAGGCCTAATGAAGAAGTTACATGCACACAGTAATGACTAATATTTTACAAAATCAAACCTAATTGCTTAAAAGTACTGGGCCCAGTTTGAAAGCTGGTTAGTACTAACACGGGGTTAAATTTTAACCTGTTTTTTTTCTCTTGTTCAAAGCACTTTCTCAGGTAATTTTCTCTATTTTTTTTTTTAGAGCGTTCATCACCAAATAATTATGGACAAAAAGAATTTAACTGAATTTGTGTTTTAAGCTTTCATATCTGAATTTAAATTTTGCACTAATCCTGGGTTATCTTAACCTGGTTTTGAACACTGGCCCTGGTGGTTATGGCTAGATATGTAAACACAGTAGTTAACTTGAACTCTGAAGGGAAACGAAAAACAGTTGGAGTTAGTGTAGGCCGCAAGCAGTCATCCGTCTTTCCTCAGAGCCACGCAAGTCGAATGAAAAGTTAAAATTATGCAAATTACTGTCCACTTTGCTCGTGGCTTAGCCGCTCTCCCCTCGCACGTGCTCTCGTCTCTCCTGCTCACAGTCTAGAGTTAGTGGGAAATTTGAGTTATTGTGGTAAATTTCAGTGAAATTTTGATCAAGGAAAAGCAAATTAATATTCAACTTATCAAGGTTCTACTGTATAACTGATTCAAAAAAAGGCTGTCAGTGCTGTAGCCTGCAAAAACAGACATTTCTCCTACAGCTAATACAATCATGATTTATTCTGCAGGAACGTCTGCGTCTCAGTGACAGAAATTTCATATTGATGACTTAAAATCTGTCTTATCTGTTCTTAAGTGCTGATTGGACGTCAGAGTAGTTATATTGTTTTAGCCTTTGTTTACGAATGACAGACATAAGACAAAAGGCTGCAAAGGTTAAATATAAATGCAGGTATCTGTAACAAAACAGTCAAAATTTGTGGTATATATACTTTGCTAGAAGAAGTATTTAAGTTTAGCTGGAGTTTGTTCGCAAATGACCACAACACTTTACCAAAATTGACAAGGAGAATTGTAAAATTGATCATATTTGCATTTGAAACGCCATGACTACTGATTTAATATGTAAACATTGATTTATTTCATCAGTATGGAATTTCTGTTGCCTGGTCGCCGACATTCCTCCTCTTGAGATGTCCCAAGCGGTGAGGAGCGAGGATGAAATGACTGTTTTCGCAGGCTATCAGTGCTGAAGTGTAGGTTGGCATATCTTCAGTGATTTGAAAATAAAAATTTTGACACCCTCAATTCATAAGATGATTAGCATCATTCATGATTTTCTTTTTCTACTGCATTGCAATGCTCAGTCAAGTATCATAACTGTTAACTGACTACCACCCATAATGCCTTTCAGCATTGTTGGGTATGCTTGTATGCTTTTCTTGCAACCTTTTTTGAATCATTTGTATTAATATGTGTATTAAAAGAACTGCAGTCAATTCAATAACACATGTGTAATAATAATTTATTGGAAAAATGAAAAGACAATATGAAGCGGCCAAGCTCTCAAGTGCTGAAAATTATGTAGCTTCTTTATCAGCTTACCTTACCTTATTAATTGACCTTGTTTTAATAATGACCACTAGAACCAAAGCTGCATTTAAAACATAGACTTGACAAATGAAAAAAAGAATCATGAGAAATATTAATAACCAGATATATGTGTTTATGAATAAGTTGTTGGTTACTTTCTTACTTCAAGAAAAGAAAGTGGTCATAAAAAAAAAATCCCCTTTCCCACTAATACAGCCCCTCGGTTAATAAACCAATTTCTTCTGGCCTGTTATTGACCTTACTAATGGGGATTCCACTGTATTCTTTCTGACCAGAGTTGTGGTTAATGTGGATCAAATTCACCAGGCATGACCTCACACAGCTCAGGTACCCCCAGCATAATATTGATACAATCAGCCTCAATTACTTAAAATTATGGTAGAACCTCAATAGCTCAAACTCAGACAACTTAAATTCCCCGCAAACTCGGACTAAATTTCCTTTACTTTCATCAAAATTTCACTGAGATTTACGCTGATAACTTGAATTCACCGCCAACTCGAACTGTTTTTGGTTTCCCTTTAGAGTTTGAGTTACCGGTGTTCTACTGTCCCAATTTACATAAGCCCCAAGTCTAAGTAAACTGCTTAGATTGACAGGTAGGTCCTCTGAAGTTACTTTCACATTAGGTGATCAGCACAAAAAAATTAATTTCTAACATAAACATTGATATGAATGAGAACAAGCTTGCTTTTCTTCCACACAAATGTCTCTAATTATTTACAAACTTAGAAAGTAAACATAACTTTGCTCCCCAGCATCAACAGACTCTTTAATAGTGAATGTTTACAGCTGCCGATAAGATATATAGTTTTATGTTTGTTAACATGAATGCCGCTTTCACATAGGCGATACCCATAATACACCTCATTTACCTGTTTGCTGTGGCTCTGCAAGGACTTAATTGCCTTTTCATCCTTGGCAACTCATTAGCTACAGTAAGTGAAAGGTACCGGTAGTAACATTGTTCTTTACCTGGTCTGTGTGCCAAAATGGAACTTTATGTCTAAAGTTATTTATTAGGATTTTTGAATTATGTGGCAAATTCAGGTATGTGAAGTGTGCCATCATTGTATGATAGTTTTTAACATGCAGCTTTGATCAGGCTCAGTATAGCTTATTGAACAGTTTCATGGACATTTAACTAATATGGGGTGTAAGCAGATATTAGAGAAAATAAATAAAGGTGACATGGTCTTCACACCTAAACATGCATATGTTCAATATTGATTTTGTACTTTTAATGCGGAGAAGCTGCTAAAAAAGTTGTTTTGATCTTGGTTTAAGTTTGATTTGGAGTTAACAAATATTTCATTTGCAAGGGAGAGAGCATGATTGCTTCGCAAAGCTTTACCTGTAACGAGATATCTTTTTTTCATTTTCATACAAATTATAAAAGAACAAACCTCATCCTTAAAGGTAGAACGCTGCAGTTTCTGTAAAAGTATTATCGTTTAAATATGGACAGTATGTACGTTAATTTTGCTGTTATGTTAATACTTACTACAGGCCTATTCAAACTAAAAAAGTGAATAAAGCTGATGAAAAATTAGCTGGTATAGTACATTCCTTAACAAACTTAATCTTTTGCAAATTGGATAGATACTTTAAATAATAATAATAATTCAGCCATACATGGCTGAATTGTGTATTTCTACATATTTAAAATTAAAAATGTATATTACTAATTACCACATAATTGCAGCTGTTCAATTTTGTGGGTTTGAAAGAACCCCTAAGGGACCAGTCATATTTTATGGAGATTGAGGTAGAGGAAATACATGGCAATACAAAATTTCTTTAAGGACCCCCCACCCAAGATTGGATGGGAACTTTTACAAAACTGTACTGAACAAACCTCTATATAACAAAGTCCTCAGTATAACTGAATGTTTTCCTTTACCCCAGTAATAGTAAAATATATTATGGAAAAAGATCTCAACATAACAAACCCTTCTTAAAGCAAACAAATTTTGCCAGTCGGCCATGGCCCTTTCTTATGTAGAGGTTCCACTGTTAAGAATTCTGTTAAGAATAGGTCTCAGGTAGGCTTCATGAGGTAAGTTGTAGAAAATTATATGCAAGGTTGATCATAGACTGCAAAACAGTCCACATTTTTGCATATTCAAGTATGCATGAGCAGTCAACAAAAGGTCAGGAGCAAGGCTAAAAGTGGAGAGCAAACTGTTTTTTTTTTCTCTCGCCTCTTACACCCTCACATGGGTATGTGAGGCTTGCGTGTTTCGCATGTGAGACTCGTAAGCAACCTTAAACTGATTTTTGAGAAAAAAGCCAGACTGTTTTAAAGTCCGGGTTGATCATATCATGCACATTCATCTGTTTCATCCACAGTTCATGTATATGATTTATTTCAAATTTGAATTCACAATCCAGTATCCAAAAATAAACAAGTTTACACAATCATGTCTTCATAAATCAATATGATACGTCATTTGTCAATCACAGTGCTGTCAACTGTCTTGGATAATCCGGGAGACTCCAGGTTTTGGATCTTAACTCCGGGTCTCCAGATTAGAGTATGAAATCTCACGGATAATCACTGAAGTTTGCCATTTCTTCAGTACACTTGACTTTCACTTGACTTTAAAATTTGAACTACTATTGCATTGTTTGAGCTATTTTCATGTTAACAAAAACTCCTTAACTCTCATAAAGTCCTCATAAACTCTGGTATGCCGTCGTAATAATAATTATTATAATGATGTGATTGGTGGGAAGTAAACCAATCTGGTCATATTTTACAATGGTAACATCCTTTTTGGCAATCAGAGTCAACAAGTATTTATTGTACAAATGATGTCATTTACTGTGCGTAATGACGTCATCTGTCATCCCTTCCTTATCAATTCTCAATATTTGAAGATGTTGGGGGTTGACAGCCCTGCAATCAGGTGCCGGTTCAAACATTGGCTAATGCTATCCACTGGATAAATCACTATCCAGCAGATAGCATAATAGACCTTTTTACCGATACGACAACCATATTGAATAAATTAGATTTAAGGAGTATTATGGGATCCCCAGTGGGCATGAGCACGATCCAGTATACTCGCTAAAGTATTTACGCAACTTTTCAGGCCAATTTTTCTTTAAGTTTTCCTAGAAAAGATTGTATAATGGAAAAAAAAGATCATTGTACCATGTTTGGATGTAATAATGATCACCTTTTCCCCGAGAAATATACAGTGAAATTCTCTCTTTGCCCAGAAAGCAGACGTAAATACTGAGCGAGTGCCCCCTGGTCATCCCATAATACTCCTTAAATCTAACAAATTCAATATGGCCACCGTATTGGTAAAAAGGTCTATTGGTTTTCCTAATACTTTTCCAATGGACAGTGATTTATCTAGTGGATGGTGCTATCCAACGTTTAAACAACCAGGGCCTGGTTTCTTTTACTTGTCTCTGAAGAACAGCACTTAACACTATGTCAATTACTACTTTACTAGTTGATACTGATCATAAAATTTTCAGTGTAATTAGCAAATAAATCAGGACCAGTATGAGACCTTTTTAACTTGTTACACTGATGTGCAACAAAATTCACTGTAAATTCTATCTGTAGTGTAAAAAAAATCCAGTGCAAGTTTATTTATTCCTATGAGAAATATCACTGATTATTTGGTCATGACTGAAATACAAATAATAATGCCTAATTTATTACAACGGTGGAGTGATCAAACCAAAAATTTGTAGGCCTGAGCCTACAGGTCTATGATGGGCTGGCTACGCCCCTGAGATCACTGCTCTTCCTCATCACATGAGTTTAGGCCACCCGTGCTTTGCTTAACTACAATGTATTTGAACGAAAAATCATCAAACCTCAATTACATTTCAAAAACAAAGATACTACAACAGAACCAAAATTTAGACTAAGTTTTGGCACTTCAAAGTTTCAGCAACCTTGTATATTCTATCTCTTAACAGGAGACTTTGCTTTTCTGTGCTAATAGTGCAAATTCTTGCTTGTACTTTATATTGACATTAAAATATCGAACATATATATGTTCACTTTTTTAACATTCCTTTGAATGTCTAATATCCCTAAGTATATTAATGACACTAACTACAATATTTTAATACAATAAATAGATCGTTAAAAGTGGAATAAAATGTTACAACTTGGGTCCTTTTTGTTTGGAGTAGGTTTGGTTAAGCGATTTCTTTCTTCCTATTACATGTCTTTTTGAAGAGGTCTGAAGTTCATACACAGTCATCCATGTTACTTGTCTTGACACCAGAAAATGTTACTATGTACAGCTGGAAAGAATAAGTACTGCAGAAAAGAGATTGTAAATACAGATCTTCTTTGATACCAATGATGTTAATCATCAGTTTTTAATTTCCTGGATCTCAGATCCCTGATACGTGATGATCTTCTTAATGGAGTGGCTGGAACAGTGTTGGTACTTGACTTGTCATTGCCACCACCATACACTAACTCCCGAATGAAAGAGAAGCGGATAAGGAACATTTTCCAAACAATAAACCAGCCTGAAAAGATATTAGAACAAGAAACAATGCTAACAAATTTTCTAACCAAACAACATTAGATTAACCTAAGATGTTTGTCTGACTTTTGCCCTTTTTCAACTGTTTGTGCAGGTGTTAATATCAATTTGCTGGTCTGAGTTTCAGGGCTATAAGTAGTAAAACTGTGTGCAATGCTGTTAATGCTGTGTAACTGAATACTTACAGAATTCCAAATTAAGGGGAATAAAAGCAGGTATATTCTCCAACCCAATAGCTATTTTATAGCCACATTTGTCTTGTTTTCATTTACCTCTAGAACCACATTCTTTTCAGATAAGTAATGGGGTAAAGGCATACATAATTAGCTACGCTACGCTTCTATCTTTGATGAATGTTCTCACTCAGTTTTAATTACCATTAATGCAATAAAATAATGCTTATAAACAGTATGGTAACATGACACTCATATTACTGCACTGAAATGGGACCAACAGCATAATCTTACTATCAGACATAACTGCTAATTTATGACATCCATCCTCCAGTAAAACTGTTTATTTTAAGGCCAGACATTGGGGCCCTTGAAATGTCACAGACGAACTATGCAACATTTCTAGACAATAAAACAGTCATCACTAGTAAAATGGAAAGCTACACTGCTGCCTCTGTCTGTCCCTACATCTCAAACAAAAGAGATCTATCAACTTACAATAAAACTGACAGGTATCGATCTGTTAGCCATGTATAGTGCTAAACCACAACAATCAAAGGCTCCATTTGCCAGCATAATCCCAACCGAAAAATGAGAATTGAGGCAAGCATATTTTTTTCTCCTCTCCCCCTCTCTCCCCTCTCTCCCCTAATGCCTAGTACAGTCACTGAGGGTTGATATTTCAACCATCCCCAATGTTCCATAAAGATGGCAGCTGCTGTATTACAAGCATAAACAAGCAGCTTTTGTTTGCCTACTGGGACATTAATTTTAGCCGTTACAGTTGAACCTTTCCACAATGGCCACCTTGGGGATAGAAGAAAGTGGCTGTTGGGGAGAGGTGGCCATTATGGGGGGGGGGGGGGGTATCATATGACACCTGCGAACCCTCCAGAGCATAATCTACCTGCCAGAGAAAAAAAACGTATTGGAACAAGCAGCATTTTGGCATGAGGTAATTAAAGTAGCACTACAAGCAAATCTTGTCCTGATGCCAGTGTAGAAATCGTTTTGACTTTTTCATTGCCTAACACACGCGACATTCCCAGCCGCTCCAATTCCAAAAGACTTGTTTCGACAGCAGTGTTAAAAATCGCTCTAGCATCCGCCATTCCTGAATTCAGAATAATTCTTTCCCGCAGTTGCATGTAAACAAAAATGGAATAAACAATATAGACTTACATTTGATTGACAGGCATCAATCTACTTCCCCCAAGCTGCACCAATCAGGGGCTCCGTTTACCAGCGTACGAAGTTTTCCAAAAGAACAATGATATCGGGCAGGCATAGTTTTTCTCCCCTCCCCCGAGAAACGAGAGTCAAGTAGTGTAGTGTCCCCTGGGACAAAAAAAAGTCTCTGTTATAGTGGAGAGGTGGTTGTTAGTAGAGATTCAACTGGATCTCTGATGATTAGGTTTTATACAGCTTGGCAGAAGTTTTATTCTGAGCTTACAATCCCCATGGATTGTCCAAAATATTTTTCCGCAAATATCCCATAATCCTTATCACTGGCTTTTATTGGCCTATTCTAGAGCTATTTGCCATGTGCACCATGAGCAAACTGAACTACTGGATTTTAAATAATACAACTTCTCAGTGTCATTCTATTGCAAAAAGATGTTAAGCTCTGTGCAGTGCTCATTTTGAACTGCACAATGAGCATGTACAATAAAAAAATGGGGCGCACTCGTATACCTGCCAACTTTTTTACATTAATAGGCGTGGACATTTTTTATCTTAAGAGTGCCAAGATTTTTCATAGGGTCCGACAAGATCCGAAGACGTTCCAAAGACTTCCGAAGACTGTACGAAGAGTTCAGTCTAACATGAACATGGGAACACAAAGGAACATTGACTTCCCTACTAAAAAAAGAGAAGATCATCCACATAGACTTTTCTTTTCTCTCTTTGGTTCTGGTTTCTTTAAATAACTACAATGTGTCAGTAAATGCTGTAATGGCTCAAACTTTTCCACCAGGCATGATAAATCGTAACACAGGCGCGAGTAGGAGTGAGATCCAAGTTTTCGATCCGCAGGCGTGACAATCACTCCTCAGGCGTGACCCTTGGCGGGTATGCACTTGTCACACTCCGCAGACTAAACAACAACATTTCCCAAATCTCATATCATAAAACCCCATATCCTTATTCAATTAAAATTCCAGGGCCGAGTTGTTCAAAGCTGGGTTAGGATAATCCAGGGTTAGTGCGAGATTTGAATTCAGATTTGAAAGCTTAAAAAGCATTTCAGTTTTAATTCTTTTTGTCTACTAGTTGATGACTAGAGGCTCTAAAAATAACAGAGAAAATTATCCGAGAAAATGCTTTTGAACGCAAGAAAAAGAAACCCGGGTTAAATTTAACCCCGGGTTAAGCGCTAATCGGGCTTCGAAAAACTGGCCCCAGATCTCGCTCGGCTATTATTTTCGCACAAATTCTCTAGTGAGGCCAATTCCCTAATCCCTAATGTATCGGTCAAATCGAAGCTTCAACATGTCCCCCCCGGGAAACCCCCCGGGCATTTGACTTTTTTGAAAATTTTTGTTCAAATTCCCCCCTACCCGGGCCAAAATGCCATTCAAATGCCCCACACTAGGGTCCATTCAGGTGATCAAATGCCCCCACCCCGGGGACATTTCACAGGCACAAAAATGACAGAAGGACGATGGAAACGCCTTCAGTTGCCAAACAAATCTTTATAAATATAACAAAAACTGAGAAACACAGTTAGCGTATTAACTACGAACAGAAGTCTCGTGCAAAGCGGCGGAAATCGCTGCTACAAGGTCACTGAATGCTCAGCTTTTCTTCTTCATGCAACTTACAAAGCGTTGTATAAAAAAAGATCCCACCTATTGAGATTACTACATCATGACCATTTCATTGACATGCGTGATCGCTCATCTTATTAATTAACATACTTACAGTAGGTCAAAGTAGTTGACCTGAGCTTTTTATTTTATTTTATTTTATGTTGTTGTATTGAATCCCCGGTATAGGTGTTGTATTTCATTGTGAACTCAACAATAAAATACATTCATACATTCAGAGCCTGAATCCAATATTAAAAATTTTAAAATTTAAATACTTCAAATACGGCACAAAGCTTGTTTAAGCCCTTTCCTCGTAAACAATTGGCCACAAAGGCACAATCTTTTCCACGAAAATCCTCTAACACCGCGTCCCCCATGATAGGTCGCCACGCCAAAGATTTTACATGAAATCNACGAACAGAAGTCTCGTGCAAAGCGGCGGAAATCGCTGCTACAAGGTCACTGAATGCTCAGCTTTTCTTCTTCATGCAACTTACAAAGCGTTGTATCAAAAAAGATCCCACCTATTGAGATTACTACATCATGACCATTTCATTGACATGCGTGATCGCTCATCTTATTAATTAATATACTTACAGTAGGTCAAAGTAGTTGACCTGAGCTTTTTATTTTATTTTATTTTATGTTGTTGTATTGAATCCCCGGTATAGGTGTTGTATTTCATTGTGAACTCAACAATAAAATACATTCATACATTCAGAGCCTGAATCCAATATTAAAAATTTTAAAATTTAAATACTTCAAATACGGCACAAAGCTTGTTTAAGCCCTTTCCTCGTAAACAATTGGCCACAAAGGCACAATCTTTTCCACGAAAATCCTCTAACACCGCGTCCCCCATGATAGGTCGCCACGCCAAAGATTTTACATGAAATCAAGGGTGCAGTTCAAATTCCCCACCCCTAAAGCATGGGGATCAAATTCCCCACCCCCTGGAAGACTCTGATAATCAAATTCCCTCCTCCCCGGGACGGCAAAGGTGTCAAATGCCCGCGGTATGCGGGGGGGGGGGGCATGTTGAAGCTTCGATTTGACCGATACATAATCTTGAAAAACCTACTGGGAACCCTGTGGTGCGACACGAAAAAAATTCTTCCAAAGGAGAAAGACATGCACGCAAGGCAAAAATTTATCAAATCTAGCTCAGAAACGAGTCATTATTCTTGAGCATGCTCTTCTGGATAATTACGCTTGGAATTTCGGCAAGGGGGCCGGGGGGTGCAGCAAAGATTGAAATTTAATTTTCTCGATGGAAACAACCCTATAAAGTGATGTACTTCGGTTGATGGTTAACCAGTGGCAACCTCGGTGATCATAACTCAAGATCAGTGAAGCAAGGTAGTAAATTATGTATACCGGGGATTGAGTTATTAATCCTTTGAGCTAAACAGGGCATAACGGAACTTAACCCCCACACTCAACGAAAAGGCTCGAACTGTGATCCGCGCATCCCAACTGTCAACTGCATGATCATACGAAAAGGCGCCCATAGACGGCCAAAAACCACTTACCAAACAAGATCACCAGGATCACAGCTACGATAGTTATTAAAATAACCACGGCTGTCACCAGACCTTCTTTATCGAACATCTCCAACGTGCCGATGATCCCTTCCAGTTCACAACGCTATTTGCGTCCTTCGCGCGGAAAGGACGCTATCGAGACGCTTAATCCATATAAGGCATCTAAGTCACGTGAGTACCTTTTGTAAACGAAGGAACGAAGTGTCGGAAGGAGGAGGGAGGAAAAAATGAAGTTTCGTTTTTGTGGAGAGTTAGATTGCCCAGATTGGGTACTTGCAGAGATAAGTACACTTTCCAAAATAACCTCTGTAAAGATGCGGCTTCTATGTACTCAAATTATCAAGGATCTATTAGGAGAATCGATTGACTATGCCAAGGTAGAAAAGCTGACATCTGATGCCAAGTACGAACTGTCTGATGTGAAAGGATCGATCGCGGCATTGTCGTTCATAATTTCTAGTGCTACTAAGTACAGCGTGGACGGTGATTCTTTATCCAACGAGCTGCAGCAGCTTGGCTTGCCAAAAGAACATTCTGTTGCTCTGTGTAAAACATATGGCGAGAATTTGATCAAGTTACAAGATTGCTTCTTGGGGAAAAGTTTGAAGTTGAGTGGAATGACAGAAGTGGAGTGGAGAGTCGATTATGTTTTAGGATCCAGTGAATTACATGAAATCTCGGAGCCAGAGGTTCAACTCAGGTTCAGTGAGCTGGATGAAAACAGTGGGAGAAGTCAACCAGTGTCATTCTCAATGACGTCGAACAAATTTAGCGTATTCCTAAGCGAAATGAAGCAAGCACTTCGCTTAATGGAAGGATTTCAATCTTAAGCTGAATCTGAATTGCGACTATCTTTTTTTGAGCAACATGTGTTGTACTTCATTTCTGCAACTCCTGTTTGATTCTTGCACTCACATGAATCTGATGCAATGTAAAATATAAAGTGACTGTCATCACAGTGTTTTTACTCTGCTATCCTTGGACATGAATGAAGTTTAAACCATGTAATTTCCAGTAAGATTCCTTGAAAAGATTGAGACCTTCCATGGGGGGTTTGGTGCTGCTTTGTCCCTTTTTGATGATGAAGATCTGGTAACTTAGAAACAAACTATTTTCTCTTAATAGTGAGTTTATGCAACAGGATGGCAGGAAGAAGCGAATGGCAAAACACTAGTGTGTTTTAAACATGAAAGGGCTATTACTTGCATGTTTTGTCATGATCTTCCCTTAAATAAATGTTTTCTGGTGTTTTACAAAGAGATCTATTTAAAGGAAGGTGAAGTTTAGAGGAAAGTTTTTTTTAAACAAAACTATTGTCATGCTTGGTTTGAAGTCTTCTCCCCTCTCTCGTCTTGTTGTGTAAGTTCACTAATATCAATTTGTGGAGGCCCTCTTAGTGTGTGTGAGTATGTGTGGGGCAGGGGGGTGGGGTACTTATGTTTCTGGTCTGAATTTTAAAAGCGGTTCCACAAACTGAAGAGGTGATGTCGCTGTCGGTATTGTGATTTTCCTCATTGCTGTCTCTGTTTCAACCCATTTGTTGCCATTTCACCTGTCTTAATAAGCTGCTGTTTCAAGGCCATGTTGCTTGTTGCAATTGAACCCTAACAGGTCCTCCTTGTAGCTTTCAAGCTGGGTCAAGTTTTCACATTTTTTTTGAGCTCACAAGCAATCTATTAAATCATATTTGGAGACCATAATTTATACAGACAGTCATGCTGTGATTTCTTTCTTCTTGTGTTTACAAAAGTGAGAAAAAAAGAAAACTGTAAACACCATAATAATTCTGGGATGTGATAGTCCTTCAAGGAAAAAAGCATTTAATAGCCACAACACTCACCCCCCCCCCCCCCCCCTCCCTGCGGCAAGTTGCCTTCTACCCCTGAGAAAAAACAAAATCAAAAAAATCAAAAAAATATTACCCCCACACCCCTCAACAATAGCAAAATTATTCCTTTACCCCCCAGAATTATTCCAATCATAAAAGTTGCTAACACAGCCCCCCC